CGCACACGTATCCACAGGCGGCCAGTTATGTATCCTATCAAATTAATAGACTAATTGGCTGCTGGGGGCTCATTTAGACAATCCGCAGAGACCACAAGCACAAATTATTTGTGGAAGTTTTATACGCACGTTCTGAGTTTTAAGATTCGAATCGAGCCATAACTGAGCTTGATTTCGAAAATATGCCTATATCTCGTGGTGTATTAGCATAGCGAAAATTATTACAGCCTTGCTAGGGCCGAGGGGGCCGAGGGGGCCAAGGGGGCGGCGAGCGGAGTACTTGCGTCTAGGAGTTAAACGCTAAGCCCAACATGCAGTCAGTCTCGTACGTAAACACATAAAAAGAGGGAAAGGCTCCATTTCTGTGAGAATCGAATAGGACGAGAAAAGCTATAAATACCCCATCACCTTCCAGCTCATTTATTTTCGTTCCATTCAACCATCATCCTACTTTCGTCAAACCAGTTCATCTTCTCAAAACCAGTTACTCCCAACACCTTTCAAAATGCGTTACACAATGATTGCATCCGTGCTCCTCGGTGCCCTCTCCTGCACCGTTTCTGCCAGCGCAGACAAAAGCTGGATCATCAGCTTCTACAAAACTAGCTTCTGCAAGAGCGAGGACAACGTCGACTCCGAGGGAGATTCCGTTGGCTACGGCTGCACCAACATCGGCTCTTCAGTGGAACTTAAGGGTGCTAGCTTCGAAGCCGAAGGGACCTGGATCGCAACCGTCTACACTAAGGACAACTGCGGGGGGGATAGCTACACGTTGCAAAATTCGAAAGACCAATGTATAAGTCCGAACCTAGGCTTCGGCGACCAGCCTAGCTGGAAGTCCTATGATGTAAGTGGATATGTGTGAGACACGAGGATATGGATCTAACGATGGTAATGGTATTTAGGTTGGTGATGCTAACCGATAAGACGATTGCTGTGAGCTTGCAAATGTCTGATTTGTATGTTTCTACGATGTGTTGGTGTGGAGAGGTGCTGTGGCGGAGGTTAGCTTGCGAAAAGCTCAGTTCCGAAATTTTATTGAGGAAATACCGTCCTGGTTTTGCTTTATGTATTAGTCTCTACTCAGTACACCATTAGCGACTGGTTAGTTCAATACATCGTTCTCACGCTGTGTGTTTGCAAGTTACCCCTGCATAAGTAATGTAGTGTTCTAGACAGCCTCTTGCCCCACTCGCGGAGAATTGCCTCGGAGAGATAAGAAGCTTGCCAAATGCTAACACGTTCAATTCCGTATTAGATCTCTTGCAACCTCCGTCCCAATTTTGTCTTCTCATTCCTTCTGTAATGCAGCTGAGCAGGCCGAGTCCCGCTCTTTCAGTCTCTGAGAAAAGCACAAGCTGGATTAAGCAGGTGGTTTTTAGAAAATATAGTCATAACAAAACGCTCCGAGTCATTCATGGCGCCAGAATAGAGACCAGAGACACATTCCCTTTCCTTTTCCTTCTCATCTGCACTTAAGCCTTCCTTCTTGATCTGACGTCGGAATGCTTTGATTTTGCAAGAAGCATCTTTGTAAAGGGTCCTGCTGGTATCCAGTTCCTGAGGCGACATGTACAGAGAGGACTTCATCTCCACTTTGACTGTACCAAATTTTTTCCTAAAACCGTTTCATAAGGGGCTGTGGTTCGAAGGTGACATGATTGTGCTCTTCACTTTCCAATCTGTTTGCTGTCAGCAGGGCAAACCGGTCTCATAGGGACATACAAACCATGCCTAGTACCGGGCGTTGAATTTTTAGGATACATTGACAGAAAAGGTTGTTGCACGTGGGCGTAGCAAGTATGATTGTATCTTTTTAGTTGGGGCCGAACTCAATATATATCCGGGGTGGAACGTACTTGAGGTGTCATGACCGAGTATCTACTATTGATCCTAGGACCGAATGAATTGGAGATTCCCAACCGATGACACATTTATGTTGAAAACCGGGCACCGAGGGTCACAAGCCTGATAAAGACAGCAGCCAGGGACATTCTTTTGGGTTTTATTGATAGCTCCTAAGAGGCGCGAAGCTCTGAAAGCTTACATACTATAACAAGTTGTAGGGTAACGAATACTTTCACTATCAATTTTAATGCGCTTAAGGGTCAGCCTTCGTCGATTGTTGAAACGTAATTGAATGCTTCCTGGTCGTCCCATTTTACTAGGTCGCGTTCCACTCTGTGTAGGAAGTGAAGTCTGCAGAATTGGAGCCTTGGTCATTACGACTGGTATCGCTGTGTTTACGGAGTTCATAATTATTTACTTTGTGCTTCCAGGAACCCTGGAGATTCAACGGTCGTTCGTATAACCCGCTAGTATTATGCTGATAGCATATAATGTTTAAGCATTCCCATTACAGCACCTTTGGCAATGTACGGCTGGTAAATCGTGTCAGAAAGTTGGTACAAAAGTTGATATCAATGTTGAACATAAAGCACCGTTGGACAGCAGCGGCATTTAAGCTTCTGCGTATAGAAGATATTAATCTGAGCCATGTTGGTTCCCTTATTAAGAACGGGACTTAGTTAATTTTCCTAGATTCAATTCGGTTTCTAATCAGCCGCGTTGGTTCACCGAATAGTGATCATTTCCTGATAGCTTGGAGACGCATCCTACACACGCCGTTAGATATAAGCTTACCGAAGGAGATAAAAAATAGGCGGCTACGTTGACCTGTTGCGTAAGTTTTTAATTAATAGAAAAGCGTACTTTCTTCGAGTATAGCGAAGCGAGGTATCGCAAATAGACCAAGGCAGATTACGTTGGTATCGAAAATCTTTTGTTAGTATTTGTGTAACTTAAAACGCACTTTGTAAAGATTGTTTTTAATAATTATACTCGCCCTATTCTAGTAAGTCCTAGGGACAAACGGGGTGGATTTAGGACCTACTTTACTAAGAGTTCGGACACTTCTTTAGTGGAGAGCTGTCTACCTTACGTATAGGAATAGTGCTCCAATTTGATATATAGTTATTGTAAAGGAAAAGCGCTATAGATGCGGAACCAAGATCTTGATGTATATTTAACTTCTTTGTCTCGAGCTTCTTTGAGGATTGCCAAGGATTGATCATGGGATTACCCTAACAACTGCCATGTCCGAAAGAGGATTCGGAGGTTAACTGAACACATCATCGTGACGGACACGATTCAGGGACGAAGAGGTACAAGAGTGCCTCTCCCGGGAAACTTGGACTTAGCAAGAATTAGTCTCTGCACAAAGAATACCATACATTTCTCCCCCCCACTGTTCAACTCGCCTGACCGCCTGACAACTAGTATTTCTTTACAGCTAGCTTTCTCACGACGGCTAGTCTTTATTTCTATAGTTGGGACTTCGTACGAATCCTCTAGCTGAAAGTAAATCTTACACTTTGCCCTTTAGCTTTATAGATCTATCCTAGTTAGCCAGCTTTCTCTATATAGCGAATGCCGGTATAGATTATAACGTCTATATATGATATTTACTAATAGTTTAACTTTTATATATAGCGGCACCCTCTAGCTAGCTAAATATGAAGTCCGTTTATTTTTATCCATTTTATTAAATTTATAGTAGGGGTTAGAAGTTCTTTAACTAGAGTGGTCCATGGCTTACATTCTTAGGCACTAGGTGTGATGTGATGTGATGTGAGTGGGTGGGTGCCTAACATAGGCGGTGATGGGTGATTGTACAATCCGCTGCAGAGGCAGAAGGCTGTCAAAACAGTTCTCGGCCTTCTCCTAGCTAGTACTCCTGGGGGCGGGAAGCGCGAGTTCTGCAATTGTTGGCTTTGGCTTAACTAGTGTCTTCTTATATAGGCTCTAGTCTGTCCTTGAGTGTGTTAGTTTTTCAAATTTTCTATCTAGAGAAAAATATAAAAAAAAGAAAAAAAAAAGAAAAAAAAAAGATCCCCGCGCACCGTGGTAAGACCTATTACGTTATAGGTCCACGACGGACGGCTTAGACTATTCTGACTATAATAGAGTGCTACGGCGCCGCGAGAGAACTCGGTATAGCTAGATCATGCTTTTTTAGTAGGGTAGAGATATCTAGGTAGAAAGCTGCTAAGTGTAGCTAGATAATATAGGAAAAGCATATATACTAGAACCTTATACGGAGAGATAAAGCGACGAATAGGGCTTCTAATAGACTAGGGCTATTTAAAATCTAGAGAGGAAGAGAGGGTGACGCGTATAGGCTCGAGAGAGATAGATTATACTCCACCGAGAGATATAGCCGCTTATTAAATGCTTTCCTAATAGGTTTATAAAGATAGGATAAGATATAGAGTATAGATTAATTCATTTAGTATAAGTATTAGTATAATAAGGTATAGTAAATATAATATATAGCTATAGTATATATAATACCCTAATAGATGTTTGATGAGGCAGTAAAAGACTCGCTAGATGTACCGAGTGATTCTAAGTGGATAGTATAGCCAACTCGTTAAATCAACGGCTTCAAATCTTTCTTACCCCCAAGTTGCTTAGCGATTCTAACCTAGTCAAATATTAAGTGGTCATGTTTTCAGCATACTGATCGACGTGCTGTTTTGAGCAGATGAACTTAGATCTCCTAGCTGAAGATGATCGCGATTACTTGGGTCACACCATGACAAGACACGCGAGGGCCGCTAGAGAAGACCTCTGATTGTATGCGGTATTCATAAACGGCCACGGTCAACCAGCGACACGAGGCAACTGATATCCGCACGTTTCGCTGTTGCACTGCCGTTTGTATCACTAGGCAACGCCACATTAATCTTTTCATGGGCGAGCGCAACCCACTATTCGAGGGGGTAAAAAAGAAGAAAGAAACTTCTCCTTTGAACACTCTTCCACAACAATGCATCACAATAGTGAGGCTGAAACTTGAAGGTCTAATACTGTATCAAACTACCAAAGCTGCTACATATTTTGTTCCTGCCTAACATGCTTAAGGCTAGCCACCCCATCCAAGCAATGGAAGTCACTTCTGTTTACGTGAGCAAAACGGAACTTAGTAGTATTTATAACTATTTACTCGAAGCTAACGAAAATATATGGTCAATAAATTGCAGCGCCAAGTCAAAGCACTTGGCATCACCCGGTGGCAGGAGTTGGCTAGCAAATATCCCGGCAACGCCGCGTTCTCTGTTGGCAAACCAGACCAGATTCGCCATTCCGCCCCAGACTAATGTGTTCTTCTTCATGACGCCGACATCTTCTGTCATGTACACGCTACCAAGGCTCCAGGTAACGCCAGCTGAGATATCCGAAATGCCGGTCATAGTGGCAATGACCTGCGAAACTGAGGGATCCTTCAACATTGCCGATTCCGCCATGATTTGCGGGGTGCACATCAGGTCAACTGTTTCCTTCTTCAGGATAATAGGATTGTCGCTGATAAGATCAGCGAGGACTTTCATATAGTCTGGCACAGAGGAATAAATTCCCGCTCCTCCACTGTCTTCTTCAGCGTCGATTGGCCACGGGCTTTGTGCTGGTTGAAAGCTTCCATCTTCCTGTCTCTGCGACATGGCCGCTAAATGTGTCGTAATCTCGGTGTGCTTCGCGGCCCGAAATGTCGTTGTTTTCATGCCTAATGGCTGGAATAGGTGCTGCTGCATATACTCTTCCAGTGTGATGCCTCCGTTCAAACGACAAACTAGGACCCCTGCCCAGTCATATCCACCCCCATATATCCATTTTTCACCTGGCTCGCATAGTAGCGGGACCGAGAATGCTTCTATCACCTTCCCACTCAAACCCATAGGTGATTCTCCTCTGGATGCGCGCCATGCGAGCAGCTCTGGGTGAACCATGTCGTAAGCAATACCACTTGTATTGGTGAGTAGATGCCAGAGCGTAATGTTCTTTGCTGCGGGTCTCAACATGAAGGAACTGCTCGTTTGGCTGGTTCCATCTCCGACCGATGAGATGATTTGGGGCTCAGCAAGTTCGGGAAGGACCTTGGAGACCGATTCATCCAAGGCGATTTGGCCGCGTTCCACGCATTGCAGAGCTGCAATGGTAGTTAGTAGTTTGGTGCAACTGGCTGCCCAGAAGGTTGCATTCGCCTCCATTGGAGTAGCATCCTCGGTGACGGAGCTGACTCCAGCAGCTTTGAGATAGAAAGGCTCTCCTAGATTGGTGTAAGACAGGTGACCAACAAAAAGTGTAAGTACTGTACTGTACCGGATTTATCAACCGCTCCCAGGATGCAGCCAGGTACGATATTGGCCCCTCGGGCTGTGCTTGCCGCCACGATCTTATTGAAGTTCTCCATCGTCTGGATTTGACGACGAAAATCGAATTTGTAGATATACTGATATCATAACCTGTTAACTGGTGGCCCAAAAGAAATATACCATACGGGGCTATCAATATCATTACCGTACTTAAGCCTTGTGAGTTTGTGAACAACAGAGAATGTGCTGCGATTTAGTGCCTCATACTGAAGCCTCTCCCCCTGGTAAAGTTGAAACCGGAACCTGTCCTATTTATGCCTCTTTGAATTACCTTGTCGCCCTTGCTCGTGAGGTGCTCTATCCAATATTCACTCTCTGATGCCTAACACGGCCGAGTTTCCAAGGCTGGTCCCGGGCTTGGCAACAACTAAACTACACGGAATACGGGCTCTCTTGAAGCAACTAGACAGGGTATCCACTCTTATGCGTAAATACATACTTGATGTGAACCGTTTCTCAGTTCACGAGCCCAAGACCCAAAATTTGTTGATTCTGTCAGTAGATGATATCCGCGAATAGTTGATCCCCAAACCATACCTGGTGGTTGAAGGCATTCTGCACGGCGTTTCTTGCAAGAATCCTCACTTTGGTTGGCTCTTTAGGATTTCCATATAACGTAATGTATATAAAATTATCAAATCTCTAACCAAATTTGGGTAGTAGAGCTTAATAGAGTTGTAGAAGTGGAGAGATGGTTGTACGTACGCCATCACAAGGAATACGGTGTGGCGCATCACAACACGAAGTGTACTCCGTAGGTGCACCCGAATTGTCTTGCACCTCATTCATCTGTTAGCTTGCGAGTACCACACGGGGCGACCCCTTTTTCGTTTCCACACGGAACGATGTTACGCAACACGTTAGAGTGATTCGAAATCCACCAAGGTCAATATTCTCTGGTCCATCCCGTCGATTTTACCCGTGGGTCGGGTTCTAGAATCGCGCTAAAATCCGACTCAAATTCCTACTTAGGCAGGCGGTTTTGTTCACCGTGTTCCTATAACGTAATTCACCCCCCGTTGCGTGGCAAAATGCCGGTGAAACGCAGCGATCGCGGAGGGAACGCGTCCAACCACGCGTCTGATCTTTCCAGTCCCGACGCAGCACCTGGTTCGCCAGGTGCCAGGCCCTAGGGTATAACCCAAGGCCTAGCGCAACAGATCCTGAAATATCTTCAACCGATCCTACGAGCAAACACCGGAATTAGGGTGGAATGCAAACGCATCTCAGAACATCTCAGAAGCATATAAGAATGTGGAGGCCGTCGCGGCCGAAGCAGCGCTTTATCGCAAGGAACTGGAAGAATCGCAGAAAGAGGTCAATGAGCTCCACAAGAAGATCGCCGACCTAAAAGAACTCGTTCAGTCAGTTACCGTTAGGGATACCCACTACGTTGCCTAGCACGCGGGTCCACAGCCCAGGGAGGGCAAAGCTGGGCATCAATTTCACAGTCGTCCTTCGTGTCGTCTAATCCTTGGGCGACGCGCACCAGACTTGGCCTGCCTGCTGTGATATTGGACCTCCGTTCTGCTGGAGAGAAGACCAAGGCGCTAGTAGACGACCTCACGCAGACATGGGAGAAGATCCGTATCGTACTCCAAAGCGAGACGACAACTGCAAGCGCAGATTTTATGGGGATTAAGCTCACCTCTCGGACTAACAGTCCCGAAGAGTACTCACACCGCTCCCGCTGTTGGTCCTCCAGGGCCCAACGCGAATTTTACCCCCAATGCAACATTTCAAGCTATTCATCTCTCTCAGCAGCCACATTATGGCTTTTGCATAGATACAGGGGTAATTATAGGCTGCCACTGCACTCTGATAGGTGTTTCTGGCATTACATCATCCGAGGGCACAGCGACCGTAGGAGGTGCCTCTGAGGCTGCCACTCGCGATCTTCCGTGTAGCGGCAGCATTCTCTTTCTCTGCCCTATCCCCAATCCTTCGTTTTGCATCCTTTGTAGCAAGTGCCCCGAATTTACCGACTTGGCGCATTGATTTTCGAGCAGTTGAGGGCATCGCAGGGAGTTGATGTTGAATTGTGGTGTTTAGAAGGCTAACATCCTCGGTGAACTGGACACCTATTCGGCCAACCCGATTGAGCTGGTTCATTTAACGAGTTGGCTATGAACCACTATCCACTGGAAACGGAACATATAGCTAACCAATGATATCTAGCATTTGCCACCCCTGCTTTGGGTTGGCAATCAAGGTCTCCGTAAATCTCCATATGTAGTCTTCTTCCTTACGAAGCCCTCTTCCATACGGAGCCTCTTCCGTTTGGGGAACTACTGCGTATGGAAAATTACTACGTATGGAAACCATCTTTGGACTGTCAACAGGTATATTCTTAGTAAACGGCGGACCTGTGAATTGCCTTTTCGAGTTAGTTTTCTCGTTTTGGGTTTAGCGCTCCAATACGCTGTCACGTAACCTACCTTCAATGCCGCCGACATAAAAGACCCGACCTCCCCTTTGTTGCCTACTGATCTCTTTCATCTTGCTCCCTCCGTCGCCTCTATTCTGTACTCATTGCTGCGCCCCTGAAATTTCGTTCCCCCAACCGGATTCCCCGTCTACCCCACCCCTTTTCTTTTCGGTCGCAAACTGCGGCTGAACTCTGGTTGCTTCCGCCTCAATTATCTCTTGGGATCTTGATTATTTGGCCTTCTTACGCAGGTGGCGCTTTGAGATTGGCTGGCTTTGAAACATCATGTTCCCGAGCGACGCGATGCAAATGATTCCTTCACAAAGTGATCACTGGACCTATATACTTAAGCACTCTTTCTACAAATGGTTGGATTGTCCTTCTTATTCGCTTCCCTCGATGACCTTCCTTCATTCTCGATTCGATGATTTACCACCTCGCCTGTGCTGGTCCTGGTGCCGCGTACATGTGACCCGCTCCTTCGCGTCTGCCTGGTCGTGATCGCTGCTCTGTTCTTTCGTGGCTTGGTTGTTTTGTAACTGCGGTTACTACGCCCTGTCTCAAGTATCCAATGGCAAAAATACCTCATCGATGATCGTCCTAGACTCGTGCTTCTAGTCACCTAGGGCCGGCCGTCTTTGCCGATCAGCACCGTCATGCCCTCAACCCTGAGAATCCTGTACGGACCCGATAACGTTGAGGATAAGTTGGGTCTCAATCACCAGCACTCTCGACCCGGTACGCTTTCCTTCATCCAGGCCAATCAAACGTTGCATTGCACAGTCCCCGGTGTCGCAGATCTGCCTACAGCTTCCTGTTTCTGAGCGCAGTGGCACACAATTGTCATTGTGGGTCTCCAGATCCTCTGATCCAGTGGATGTGTTCGAAGTCACCACAAGGTGGTATTTGTCAGTGGCGAAAAAGAAAGCGCTGCCTCATCACGAGGTTCAGGATGGCCTGCGACTGCATAAACTCGCTCATAATCATGCAGACAACCAGCGAATGGAGATTGAGCTAAAGGCTACAGCGGATCCGCATCGTAGACCGTCGGCGAGCGCGATAGGAAAATACAGCCAGTGGCCTACGATCCATGTTCTGCAATCTGCGCGATACCGCGTCATTGATGATTTGACCTTGATTGGGTGAGCTGTTCAAATATTCTGCCGTAAAATTTCCTAATACTTTTTTGGAATGAGCAATGACTTTCCCCCTGATGATTACGTTTGCTTATCAAATTTTCAATGAGCCGGGAATTCCTTTAATTGCTTCCCGTCAGTGTGCGGAGAAGGGACTCGAAGTATGTAAACTTCCCTAGGATCGGAGATATTAATACTGCGAAGTCCTTCATGCTTAGCGACCAGCAAATCGTCGGCGTAGTATATATATGATTTTAATATGTACGCCTGTTCCTAAAAATACTGAGCAAGTCAGGCTACTTAGGGATTCAAACTTTACCTTGGACGATTTCGATGTGGAAATTCGCGGCTGTCTGACTCTGGAGCACATGAAACCATTTGATTTTAGCTAAGTTTTGGTACTGACTGATCCAGTAAGAAACTCCCCCGCAATGAGGCAACAGACATGTCTTTTTTCCTAAATGCGAACAACCTGTTCCACGCTGCTTGACGTGCTTTCCACGCCCAATTGGTATCTTGTGATGTATATTATTTCTGCTGAATTGGTTTGTCTATAAAGACAACCCACTCACGATAGTGATGAATTGGAATTAAAATCACAATCGAAGTTGGGAGAAATATTTCCATAAGTGCGAGATAATCTTCGTCCTATTCATCCTCAAGAGGATGGTGAGACATATAGTAATATCTAAAGTCCATAGTCTGTTTTACCAGATAGAAAAGGTTAGTGCTAGCCGATCAAACGAACGAGCCGATCAGGTGCTCGGTTCGCTTACCGCCGTTACATACCTAGTACCTAGTTAGTAACTATTCTTTACTAATATTACGTAACTGCTAAGCGACGCATTTTATCAGTCCGCTTTGCTCTAGCTTGGGGTAAACAATCTACCTGCAGCAGTTGGAGTCAAACATAGTGGTCTTAGGGGTACAGGCCCGTCTTTATCGCACAGCTGAGTTTACAATCATTATGATAATACTACTCGACTAGAAAGGTAGGTAGTTAGATGGTGAAATTTTTTGCTTGGAATTACATGTTGCAATTATTGCATTATCGTCCATTTTCTTCAGAATCTTGCAATGATTCAAGTGCTTATGCTGAAAAATGTACATTAATCGTATAGGCAGTTACCTTCCTTTAGTAAAAAGCGTTCAACTTGAACTTCTATGGGTTGGTTCCTTTACTAGTTGTTTCATGATGTCTGTTCTATCATCCCCTACGGAGTTTAGTTAAAGTCATCTAGTGAGATATAAACTAAGGGAAATGGGCCGTACAATTAAAAGCAGCTAAGTAGGTTGCATTTGTTTAGAGACGCAGATGGATCATTGTCTGAGCTGTCTACCATATGATAACGAAGATATTCTTCTTCTCATGCTACGGCAGCCATAATCATGAAGTCATGATTAGTTTTTTTTTCTTTAGTAGTAAACAGGTTACTGATGCTCTTTACTGTGTGTAATCATGACTCTGTGAGATCGCTTAGAAGGAGGTTGCAGCCCAATAAATTAATATGAAACCTTAGATCCTGGTTCTTTCTCCTGATCATCAGGGTCCAGATAAATGAGTTCGTTACGTTAAAGACATAATATATTATGCACATTAACAAGGAACCAAGACACTTATAGTGGATACTTCCAGAATAGTATGTTACGATCAATAAATACAATTTATATGATAGTTCACATAGAGTGTTAATCATGTACTGAGTCGTGACTTACTTAGGGTAGATCATACGAATTATTCTTTTCATCTTCAGCATGAGAAATTCACAAACGGGGACCCATGGTAAACACCTATAAGGAACGGGGACTCCGTCGGCATTTATTTGAGATATGATCTAAACATGGAAAAATGGATGCTAGTACTTCTATTGTACCCTTGAATTCATTTTATTAAATGAACAACCACTTGTGTCAAGCTTAGGCCTGAAACTGTGGCTAATGCACCAGGGGCTATTGGGGTTTCAAGGTTTGAGCTGAAACCATTGCCAGTATGCCATCGCCGCTGTATGTCTTGAATGCATCAAGACATGTCTTACTTACAATATTAGAATCTAGAATACAAGCCTGAACAACTTTGGGCATATATAAAGTCCTTCTCTTTTCCCATCAAAGTCTTCTTTTCTCTTCATCCTGTGCAACACCTTCTCTCATTCTCTCATCCTTCTTCTTACTCCTTTCCTTTACTTCATTGACTGAAGTTGTTCTTCGTTTGCCCTGTTCACTCTTTGCGCAACAATGTCTCTTTCTAAAGTTGCAAGCCTCATCTTAGGCACAGCTGGTCTGGCCGCAGCTCATGGACACATCGATCGTATCAACATTGATGGCAAGTCCTATGGTGGATACCTGGTCGATAAATACCCCGGTCAACCAAACGTCCCCGAACTCATTGCGTGGTCAACTGCGGCTACTCAGGACGCCTATATTCAAACCTTCGATTACAGCCACCCGAATATTATCTGCCACCAGGATGCTAAGCCTGGTGCTCTCGCTGGGGAGGTTGCTGCTGGTGGCAAGGTGACGCTGCACTGGAGCAGATGGTTTGAAGATCACCGTGGTCCGGTAAGTGATCAGAGGAATCGGGCAACAACCGAGACAGAAGTGGTTAAATCTAATCAGAACGCTAACATAGCGTAGGTCATTAGCTATCTTGCGAACTGCAATGGGAGCTGCGCTTCTGTGGACAAGATGAAGCTTGAGTTTTTCAAAATTGAAGAGGCTGGTCTTCTCGACAACAGCAAGTCCCCCGGATGGTGGGCCAGCGGTGAGCTTATGGCTGCCAACAATACCTGGACGGTCAACATCCCCTCCGATATCGCAGCAGGCAACTATGTCCTTCGTCATGAGATCATCGCATTGCATAACGCAATGAGCGACAATGGTGCACAAGCTTACATGCAATGCATCAACTTGAAGGTGACAGCGGGTGGCACTGCTACTCCCAAAGGCATTCCTGCCACCCAGTTTTACAAGCCGACCGATCCCGGCATCCTGGTCAATATCTTCGACAACCTTCGCACTTATGTGATTCCAGGCCCTGCCCTCTACAATGGCAGGGGTGCAACACCTACGGATACCGCCGTCATCCCCACCGGAACGTCTTCCCCCGCGGTGTCTTCCACCCCAGCCTGGACGACCCTCGCTGCAGCGCCTCAGGCTTATGGATCTGTTCCCGACCAGAGCTCTCCTTAAAACTCATCTGCACCCATGGCGACTGACGCTGCTTTGCCATCCTATCAGGGCCAAGCTTTGGGTGAGATATAGAACGGTCAAGTTTATGGGGGCTCCCAAACCTGGAAGAAAAGATCCTCTGGCTGGATTGTCAGGGGCAGGAAGCATGCTCGAGATCTCTCTGTCTAAGGAAACATGGATTGTATGAGCATTGCTGGATCGCACACCTTCAAAATTAAAGCTAGCAGACCATACGAATCAAGCAGGACGGCTTTGGACCTAATTTTACCGAGGCGGTCTTCGGCTCATCTTTAAGTATGACTTGTGCAGTTGTATCGTAAGAACAACCTATTTTCAGACAATAACTATAAAAGAGCCCTCGAAAACCTACGTTACACATAAATGTCCAAATGGACGTAGCATGACGGCCTCTATAGACATTGAAATTTGTACTGAAGGCCTAGTAGACCACCTGTCTATCAAAGCCTCTCATACGTTGATCTGCGGCCATCGAGTCCCAATGAGAAGAGTTCAGCATCTAAATTCGCCAGTGATCAAATACCACAAGTCCAATGACAGTAAGCTGTAGATGACTGCCTGTTGGCGTAGAGCTTACGCCAAATGGTCACGGTTAAAAAGCGGTGGCACAAGAGAGAAAAGCCGAGATCGAGTGGGCTTACTAACCTGACAGGCTACGGAACACGCGGCTACAGTACTAATTCGATCATGAACCAGGTCTCTTGGAGCAGAATGAACTTATTAAAACGAGCCTACATCATCCGGCACTTTGGTCGCCTATGCTGGTCTCTACCCTCCGATAAAGCATGCGAAACAGAATCCATATTCTCCTTATAGCGAACCAATTCGAGACCATACGCCACAAAAATGGTGTTTGTGCCATCCTGGACAGCCGCTTTAAAGCATTGTGCAGGAGCAATTGTGCGAAGGTTTTGGTCATATAATGTTACCTCCTTCGCTTTCTCCCTGGCGAATGCTTCCACTGGCACTAGGTCGGACAGATTGTGTTTTCAAGCGGTACTTCGTGCATGATTCCCTAGCTCGCTGTCAATCGCTCCTTGAAAAGTAATTGTATTGATTTTATGATGTCCCTCCACCACGCCATTGGTTCCCGTAGGACTGGAGGCTCGCTCCTGTAGGAGTGGCAGTACGACTACCTAGAGAATTACAAGTTATAGTAAAGATTGAGCTGAGATATCTATAGTATTGAGCACTCAATCCGCTTTTAGTCCATACCTAAAGGAGCATATTGTCCCATAATACTATTTATTTTGTGTACTACCTTTTGATGGCTTTTATAACCCTTTTCTTGAGGTTCTCTATCCTTTGATCCCGCTCTTTCTTCACAACTTTTTGATGGAACTCAAATTGTATTCATATTTTGTCCAATTTCAGGAAATAAAAGATGATTTCCACCAAGGATTTTCTATATTTTTAACACATTATTTCCCGAAAAGCATCTCGCGTATAATGGATCAGAGGAGCTAATACGTGATTAGTTCCTAACTACTCCTTACTCCACCTTAAAGCTCTAGACTACTCGGTCCACTTAGACTGCCTAGTCTTCTCAGACTACTTATGTTGGTTGCACTTATGCTGTGGTTGACAGTCTAATGATGATTTCCATACGTAGTAATTTTCTATACGTATTAATTCCCCGGACGGAAGACGGCTACGTATGGAAGAAGGCTTCGTATGGAAGAAGGCTCCGTGTGGAAGCTTTCATCATTAATGCATCCTCGTTTATTCTATAGTACTGGTATCGTTGACAATGTATATTCGGTCGACTCCTAAATAACCGTTGCATCTTATCGTTTATTATGTTGTATAGTTACTATGCTATGTATCACCTCTGCTTTCTATTGCCCGTATATATAGGTTGAACTTTTAAGGAGGGAGAAAGGAGAAAAGAGCCTAAAAAAAAGCAAATTAAAACAGCTTCACCTTGATCATATAAGCGCAGATCCGGGAACGATATAAGTATAGCAGTAGGTAGTGGAGGAATAGAAAGAATTTCCTGCTAGACTTTCGGCCATACCTCGAAAGATCCTATAGCTGTGACTCTTAGTAGGTGGTTGCCGTATCGTGAATATGCTAGAGGAGTTGCTTTAACGATAGAATTTCTAGAACTTAAGGCCCGGTATAGACTAGGTCTAATAATTCTCGGAATATGGTTTCTTCCGTAAGTGTAAAGAAATACTAGTTGTCAGGCTAGTCCTATTGGTCAGGCGAGTTGAACAGTGGGGGGGGAGAAATGTATGGTATTCTTTTTGTAGAGACTAATTCTTGCTAAGTTCAAGTTTCCCGGGGGAGGCACTCTTATACCTCTTCGTCCCTAAATCGTGTCCGTCACGATGATATGTTCAGTTAGCCTCCGAATCCTCTTTCGGATATGGTAGTAATCATATGGTCAATCCTTAGCAATCCTTAAAGAAGCTCGAGATAAAGAAGTTGAATGTATATCAAGACCTTGGTTCCGCATCTATAGCGCTTTTCCTTTACATAGGTTTTGCTGAGTATATCCGATTCGTGCGTCGTCAGAGCGTACAGCCAACGAGCGTTCCCCTCTTCACTATGTAGTATTCATGATACGCTGATAATAAGTTAGTTACTTATTACTAATATTATATATATCGATTCTGATTATAGTATTGTCTATATAGGCGTTGTAGATGTCTATATATTCTACTTGGTACGATTAGCCTCCTATATATTCACTATCTTATTCTTATTGATAACTAGAGAGAATCAGCTAGATCAAATTATAAGGTGTCTTTAAGTATTTAATATATATAGATATGATCCATGAATTATTTTAACAAGCATATATTGAAGAGGTAATGATCTTAATGGTCATGAAATCAATTTCCGGACTCTCTAAATCTATACATATCGTCTGTTCGTCTACAGAGATTGATCCAAATGTAAGACTAAAATCTCTGTATTTACACAGAAGGGATTCTGCCATGCCGCCGCAAGATCGTGTTCATGTCACGCGTGTGCCGATTTATGTTTCTCTGCCTCCACGCCAGTCTCCTCTTCTTCACCAGATGTTGTAATTGCAGCAGGCTGCTGCGCTCAGTGCCCTCCTTCCCAGAGCAACAATTGCCAGACGAGCCTGGCGCTTACAACTTGATGCCACATGGTGCTCATTCAAATACATAAATTTGTTTTTAGGCTCTCAAAAGTGTCTGAAAGCTTCATTCTGTTTCTCATTCCAATATGGCTGAACCGATCGGGCTCGCCTCTGGAGTCCTTGCGTTAGCGACGTTTGCTTTTCAGTGTAGCATCTCACTTTATGAAACAGTGGACGGCTTCCGTTCGCATCCAAAAAGTGTGCGCGACCTTCTCGCCGAGCTGGAAGCCCTGAGTACCGTGCTGGCCCCCCTCGTTGACCTGGTCAAATCGAACTCTAGTGTCGATCTCTCGTGCCTTGAGTTGCCTCTATTGCGATGTGGTAATGTTTGCCAGGAGTTCCAGCAAGAGGTTGGTGCGCTCATGATCGGAAGGGATGCACAGGACCCCTCCCGCCGTCAGAGTGCAGAAAATCTCGATCAAGGAAACACCAAAGCTGTATGATGCAAACTTAGTCCTCGACTCTCAGTATTGATCCCGAGCGCCTCCCCGTGACAGATTACTGCGGCCAGAGCTCGATGCTCCACGACGCATCCTTTCGGACTACCGGTGCTGCCTGATGTGAATAGCACGTAGGCGACGTGGTGTGGTTGCGCATGGTGCGCGAGTATGCCAACGTCCTGCAGGTGTCCGACCGTGGACTCTGAGATCACGATGACATTATCTGCAGTCCCGGCGAACAGCGCTGCATGTTGATCCGAAACCAGGACGAACCCCGCATTCACATGTGCGATGATTTCCTTCAAGCGTGCCAGTGGATGGGAGGTATCTAGTGGAACAAAAGCGGCACCGGATTTCAATACGGCCAATGTTGCCACAATTGCCCAGAGAGACTTTCCAAAACAAAGAGGCACCATCACACCTTCCCCGATCCCTAGGCCCCTGAGGTGGAGCGCTAACCGAGTGGAAAGATTCTCAAGCTGGTCGTAGGTTAACTCACCGTCCCAAGAGGCGATGGCCTGTGCATCGGGCTTCAAGTGAGAGATCTCGTCAACGCTCCCTGCGATGGACAGATGGTAGTCAAGGGCCATGGCTCGGTTGTTCCACTGCGCGATATACCGCCTGCTTCGCTGATCGACCAAGTCGACATCACGCACTTTCTGATTGGGATCTTGCCAAAAGCACTGGATAGCCTGCATCATGGATCCCGCTATGCTCTTTGCTTGCTGGTTGGGGAGAGCAGCTGAATTGTGCTTCAGCGTGAAACGCAGTTTCTCACCGTCGCTGTCCACGATAAATAGCGCATCATATCTCTGCTTGACGTGGGTAGTTAGGATGATATATAACAATGTAAGCACGTGTGTATATACGAACGTACCTCACTGTCCAAAAAAAAAGCGCTTTATCCGTTTCCTCTATCTCCAGCTGCAATGGCTCTCCCAATTTGTTGATTCTAAATTCAATGGCAGTATTGAAGCGGATACGGCTGGCAGCGTCAGGTTTCAGAGAGTCTATGCTACGGCAATTGGTTCGGAGAAGCTCCCTAATCGGGGAATCCAAATTCATTGCCATGGTGAGTAACTGCTCTCGACCAGGAACGTACCCGGCGAGTGCGCCTGCCATATCCATTCCATATAAGCCGAAATGGAGTATTTCCATCTCTGAGAACTGGTGGAGAACAATTGACCAAGCGGCAATGACCAACGAAGCCAAGTCGGTCTTATTCCTTTCGCAGAATATCTCGACCTTGTGCAAGCTCACCGTAGTAACTTCTTGCAAGGCCCACTTTGTTTCTTGGGGGGAGCCATCTGGTCCAATCGGGAGAAGACATGACTTGCATTCATTCCCTTTCACTTCCCAGGATGGAACTGGTTCTTGTCGGTCACGGTCCGAGAGAAAGTCATCCGGGACAGTCGTTCTGTTTCAGCTAATGTTTAGCAGCCTTGATTTTATCGCTCTTGTTCTTTTCCGGCTTTGTGGGGTTTGGTAAGCAGGATATAGAGGACAAAGAAAAGGCCAGCAATTGAAGAATTTCTGGATCGGGCTTTATCTAATTGGAAAGAAATGGTTCAGGACGCAGGTCAGGCCGACATCCACGTGTGGGTCAGGCCGCACTCCGCGGGAAGATATATTTTCCCATTTGAACAACTTCACCTCAGCCGATTTCGATCTCATCTCCGATGCTCTCCACCGTCGCAAGCTGCTTGTATTCAAAGAGCAGCCACAGATGCTGACACAACAACAATATCGCTAGACCTCATGGTATGTCTTTCGCACACATCCTAGTTTCTTCGGCTGATATCATCTTGGTAAATAGCTTTGACCCCGACGAAAAACAGGAGGTTTCGCCCACGGCGCCGACCCAGTCCTTCTATCTGAGGAGTCACAATATACGGCCTCCCCAATCGACCAGCCATCAACTCTCAACCTCAAGTGCATATTCTAGGGCGTGGTGAAGTTCCGCAAGGCCACTTTGATTTCCCGCCAGGATCCAAAGTAAAGGGTATTGACCAAGTCAAATTCCATCTTCCACCTCACACCCCGCAGGAGGAGCGAGATGCAGGTTCCAGCCGCTTCTACCAGTGGCACTGGGATGGATCTCTGTACAAAATTCCTCCACCACGCGTAGGCTGTCTTCTGGCGGTGCGCACGCCCAAGGGCCCTGACGTCACGGTGCACTGGGGCGATGGGACCGGAAGGACAATGGATATCGCGCCGGGGGCGACTGCGATGGTAGCCGGATCAAGGGCTCTACAAGTCTTGAATCCGGAGTTGCGTGAAGTGGTCCTCAACAGTCGTATTGAGTACGCACACCACGCGTTCCAGTGGATGTCAACGGCCCGTAGTACTCGACTTGGTCACCTCATCGAAACCGAGGACCGCGAGATGCCGCTAGATACGCTTCCACCGTGGACGGAGGATGAGATCTGCATCTATCCTATGGTCTGGACCAATCCGATGACTGGTGAGAAGTCACTGCAGATCCACGGCCAAGGTGCATTCAACCTATCTGAGAAACAAACCCGATGGTGAGGAGACTGTTGTGACGGATTTGAAAGAAGTTCGTGCTTTCATGGACAAGTACGTTTATATCACCCGTTTTCACTTTTTCTGTTGACTAACTAATTACTGTAGAATCATGAGTCCAATTCTATCCCCAGACAGTATTTATGCGCATCCTCATAAGGAGCAAGATGTCATTCTCTGGTATAACCGCGCGTTGTGGCATAGTATTGTAAGTTTCGAAACTCCTCAATTGACTAACAAAAGTTCTTATGATTCACAGACCGAGTTCCCAGAGTCTTATGGGCCACGAATTATGCATCAGTGCAATATTGCGGCATCAGATCACCCATCGACGTAGGGTATAACGTTGCTTGAATTGGATCATCCTGAGGTTGTATATACACAAAGAGCCATATGCCTTTTTATCTTTCTTCGCCCTTCAACATTTCTAGTATAGCGAAAAAGATATTTCAGGCGACTGGTACTACTATTTTCTTCACGTTTTAAATTGTACTGTAAGTGATTTTACGTAGCAAAGCTAACTATCTTTGCTGTGGTCCTGTGTACGGTTACGTAAAATGCCTTTCCTTTCTTCGGCTTTTCTTTGCTTTTAGTGTTGACACAATTGAGACACATTGCATTTCTATAACTTATGCTGGAAACGTTTGGTTGGGTCGTTTTCAGGGTAACAAGGGAAATTTAACGAGAGAAGGTGCAATGATATATTATTATCCGTCATCAAGTTAGAACGAGAGAGGCTTAATCTCAAATCACGTCTTCAGCGTCGGAGATGATTGCGTCAGATTTCCTGGGCTTATATGCACTTCCAAATCCGAATCCACTGCAGTTAATGGGCAGACAATACCTGGCACTATAGCAGGCACCAGCGTTGCTCGATTAGGCCAGACGTAGTTCAACACAAAGTAGAAGGTAAAGGAGAGACTAAACCCATAAAGGTAGTTAATCGCATATAGGTGCTGCAGACCCGTGTCGATGCTGACAGTATTCGATGTCACATTATGTGCCAGTCCTGGGAGAAGGGGCAGGATGACTACTAGATTGCAGAGGAGAGCACGCCAATTTGTTCCAAACTAAACGTGGAAATGATTAATTAGCCATACTCCCATGTTGTCAGTTTGAAAAAAAGAACATACCTTGTAGTAATATATTCCTTTAGGATCAAACAACGCTGGAACATCATATTTTCGTCGCTTAATTACCCAGTAATCACAGCAGAGGATACCAGCAATAGGCGCCATAAATATGGCGTATGCAGCCATAAAGCTGAGAAACGTCTGCCCGCTCTTGATGATGATCCACGGACATAGTGCCCATCCGCCTAGAAGAATGCACATGATCATCCCGCGCTTGATGTTGATCCATTTGGGGCACATAGTAACCACATCTAAGAAGTTATTAGCTTGACTTCATGTTGCTTATTCGATAGCGCTGACCGTTGGCAAATGATATAGAGTTCGCTGAGAGATTGTTGCAGATTTGAGCGAGTAACCATAATGTCCCACAGAAGAATGCCGCGGCTCTGCCGCCAGAAGACCCTTGCCATTGCGCAATAATCTTCAGCGGGCTCCATAGGATAGTGCCGTAAAGCTCTTTGGATGCACCGGCCGCTATAATGCCGAATAGACCGGTGATGACTTTGAACAGAGGGATCATTGGTAGTTGCCATACAGGGCTCCCAGGCTTCTTGCTAAATCGGGAGAAATCTGAGATGTTCACCGCCAATGTTGAAAAACCGCCTAAGAACAGTGAGATTATATTCAAAATTCAATCAAGATATTTGCTTACCTGTGATGGAGGTCATGTTCATGAGCCACAACCATGCACGTTCCGAGCCATGAACGGTGGGTGGCTGCTTGAATATAGCGTCGCCACTCCCCGCTTTCACAGAGATCCAGATAACCATAGCCAAGGCCATTGGTGGCACGAGCATGGATTTAAAAATGAACATATATTGGAGCTTATGGGTAGGAATGAAGAGGAATGGCGTTTGGATGACATGGTAAACAACATAGGAAACCATGCCCTGGGTCGTGATAGCCGCTGACTTGGGTAGATGATTGGGTAGATCCGTGTAACCGGGCCATATAGCTGTAATCATCTGTTTCAATTGTCAGCTCGGGTATTTCAGATGTAATAGAAGTGTACTCACTGTAGTCACGCATTGCCCTCCATACGAGCTCTGAATACCGAACCAAAACAGAGCCAGCATTGCACGCGAGGCTACACAAAAATATCCAAAATATGTCCCATAGCTGGCACGAATAGCGACGGGAAATGCAATGTGCAGATCAGCTCCCACGGCTCCATTGAGGACAGTTGGGATGGCATTGCATAGTGCAGCGACTAGAGTCAAAGTCACCGTGTCTGTGGCAGACAGACCGGATGCATACGCTGAGCTAGCCGCGGACCATGTTGAGATAGTGACCAGATCGGATAGCCAGTACTGTGTAAAAGTCCAACCGGTCCAGGTCCATTTCTCCGGGGGAACTGGGTCTTGATCGGCGTTGCTCCACACATGCGATGGAGCGATACTACTTTCTTGTTTCGGCAAGGCCCATTCCTTGCGATGAGTACGCAGACGCATCATTGTTGATGATATCTTGATACGGGGGGGCAGCATTGGTCTTTTGAGGGTTTGTCGAAGAAGCGATAAGCAAAAATGATAGAGCGCGCCTTGGTAGCGAAACGTAAAAAGTCACACACACAAAGCGCCGGCAAATGATTTTGAAGCGTGATATCATAACTTGAGCCGTTCTCACTATGTTTGTCCCCCACATTCCAGGAAATCTTGGCCTATAAGGTGTGAATGGCGTCGCATATCCCTTATCTACAATCACGGATCAGCCAAATCCTAGCGTCGGCCGAGATGATAACGCATATAAAGCCAAGATTCACCCAACCCGTCTCTCACCCGTGTGGTCTACCTATATTATCATGAACTTGGCAAGAAGAAAGCGATTGGCGTGTGCAGAGTGTACGCGTCGAAAGATCAAGTGCGATAAGGTGTTGCCATGTCGCAATTGCCGCCATAGGTGCGTGTCAACTCGAATGCTTGGCTATGTCAGCTTCTCACACTGAGGTCTAGCCGGTTTCTGTTAGTTTGTTAGTCAACCCACTCCTCCCTTCGGGAGTTGGGTTTTCCACCCCAAAAGCCCGTTCAATCCAAAAGCCCATTTTACCCTATTCACTCACTCAATTGAGTTACTACCAAACCAATTCTAGCTCAATATGCCTAAATTTTCCGAAGACGTCCTTCTCCAGGCGGTCGCATACGCTAGAAGCCAAGAAAAAACGAATATCAGCGCGATTGCGCGTACTTTCAACGTACCGCGCTATACTGAGAATGCTGGGTGCATGCGAATCGAATCAGGCAATTTCAGCTTTTAGGCGTGGCCGATCTTTTCGACGATCTCGTATGGTCCACTCGCTTGGTTCGCAAGCTTCCGTCCTTGTCGGTCGTCTGCCAGTTTCGAGTTGTGACGTAGACCATATCTCCTACATCGAAATTCGCTTCGCGCCGATGCTTATTCGCTTGCTGATGTTGTCGTTCTTGTGCACTTATCGCGCTCTGCTGTGTCTCTTCCCAGATGTCTTATAGATGACTCGTGTAGTCTCGCGCTTCCTGCGTCTGCGGGTTCTCCTCTTGTCGCACTTGACGCGGGGATATCTGGTTTAGCCAATCAGAGGCTTCAGGCGGCTTCCAATCAGACAAGACGTGCGGCTCATATCCGCGCTCCGCTAAGAATGGCGAATGTCCCGTTGTCTCTTGGGGCAGCGCAGCAGCCGCGAAGTCAATCATCGAGAGATACTCTGACCAGTCATCTTGGTAGTGACTCACAAAGGGCCTCAAACGCTGTGCCATGTATTGATTTGCGATCCCACTCTGACCGTCAGTCTGAAGATGATACGCGGTTGACAATCTGCGTTCGATTCCGAGGATCCTGCAAAACTCCTTCCAAAAGGCCCACACGAACTGACCTCCACGGTCTGAGACGATCCACTCTGGTAGACCTACCCAACGATACACATGATCCACGAATAATCGCGCAGGCCCCTTCGCATCGATATTGTTATGGCAAGGGATCGAGATCGGTCTCTTTCATAGTCGGTCAACGAACACAACCACCGCATCGAACCCGTGACGATCCTTTGGAAACGAGCGGAAATCCATCGTGATATGCTGCCAAGGGCATCCTGGAATAGGCAACGGTTGCAGTAATCCTGGCGCACGATCTCGCCATGCTTTTGTCCTCTTGCATACTTGACAGTTATCAACATATCGCTTCACATCATCGGCTAAACCTTGCCAATAATACCGTGCGGCTAGCATGCGCTTCGTCTTCTCTGGGCCAGGATGCGCGGTTGACGGTTGGCGGTGAATCTCATCTAGTAGGCGTGCTCGAAGATCTCCTTCATCAGGTAGTAGCTTGTTGTTGGGAGATTCGGCCAGCAGCCTTCTGACACTTCCGAACGAAGTGGTCCACGGTCATCGCATCGTCGTCTACATCCAACATGACCTGGTTCTGCACAAAGTGGGGATCTTCTGGTACAAGTCCTGCTTGCTAGATCTGTCGGTTGGTCGGATTCCTCTGCGAGGCGGGTGAACTCGGTAACGAAATCGGTAAAGTCCTGCTTAGGGTCCATCTTCAGGGCCGTATATTTGTTTCGTGCGAGTCGCTTCCGGTCAGGATTGTGGAACACACTCTCGAGATGATCGAAGATTTCATCGACGGACTGGTATTGATTCGAGGAGTCCTCCTGCATCCGTGGGTCAATGTGCATCAGAGCTTTACCCTCACAACGGCTCTTGAGATAAGCCATCTGGTGGTCGGCGGTAGGGTAATGGTCATAATTCAGACGAACTTTCATCCCGATATCTGTCTTCCAGGATTTGAATTTGACATCCTTGCCATCACTAAGCATCGGAGGGTCTGGCATCTTAGCAGACTTGCGGGGGTTCGTATCGTAAAGCGCTGGAGATTCACGGGCGGCCCCTGGTCCCATTAGACGCATCGCGGTAACAACGCCATCATGTTCGCGGATAGCTTCGTCGCGGGTCTTCTGGGTCTCGATAGCTCTTCTCGTAGGCGAGCGTATTCTTCTTCCATATCTTGGGTCGGGAGTAGCGGGGTTCTGGCGAGCAACTTCAATCGCGAAAAGAGACCTTTTCTATGACATACAGAGCTCAATAACAGAATTTGAAAGTCAGGCTCACGCATTTTGTAATGGATACTTAATCCTGTGCTCCTGAAGAAGGCCAACGAGTGAAATAGGTCTGTCTGAAAAGCGTGTCAACAAATATGGAACCTAGCTCAACCTTCCACTGGATCCCTTGTCTATCGTGAAATATGCTCCGCCTCCCTTCCCGTGATAATTCTAATTTTGAGGCCATGGGCGAGTGCAATCAATCCGCTATGTTACCTCATACCTGCTCTCACGACATCGCTAGTCTATTTGAAAGCCATCCGAACCTGTCTCATCAGATGGGGGAAGGTTCAGGTGCGATCCAATATAGCTTTACGTTATATTTATATTGTATGACAATATATCTGAATAATCCGACTGATCCCCAATTTCAACTACCTGCCAACCATGAGCATTCGGATTTAGCCCCCTTGTTATGGTCGGCTTTGGCTTTTGCTCTGTGAAGCCCACTAGGTTACTAGACTCTAGAACACTGCGAAGGCTGACTATTTCATAGCCTTTTAATCCTTGCTATATTGACACCCTTTACGGCCGACACTCACAGAGATTTTAGAATATGGGCCTGGATAACCGTAGCATCTATTGGGCTTACCCTATTAGCCGTGCACCTTACCAGCCTGCTATGGTTGAGACGCAAATTTGTTCTCGTTGACCATTGTTCACGTAGCAACACCAGATTAACGCGTAATATTATAGAGACTAAACAAAATGATATCTAGTGGGAGAGGCAAAGGATAATTCAAGTTAATTTTACCTACGATAGTTGTTTCATTCAGTTAATTTATCTTCAAGACAGAAGCACGAGAAGATCATGACACTACGCAAACCTCTCCACCAAATCTTTCTGTGGCCATTTTGGCAAAACTGACACGTTGAGTAGCCCAGTCAAGCGTCGATGTCTGACGCACGAGACAGAATATCGTATCCCATAGGCGCAATCGACTCAGGCCTATTTTGTACGTAGGCAGAGCTGAGATTCACACCTTCTTGTGATTCAAAATTCGGCATTGTCAACTCGAAAGTGGTCCACCCACAAAAGCAATGAACCCTGTTTTTCAAGCTGACAGGCTAGAATTTGTACAGGGAAATAGACGAGCTACCGATGAATGATTCCATGCGCCAGGACGATAGCTAGTAGCCACAGCAACATCAGAGGGGACGGACCTTGGCAGACTGACGAGATATATCGCACACTCAGAAGACAGGACCTTGTTCGAAGGCCAAGACTAATGCAGAAAATTCATACCCGCAATTAGGGTGGGATTGTGTGTTAGGTAAGGACCATTTTGCTTTAGTTTTACGTCCTGATCTGATGAGCTTCGTAGCTTTGAAGCTTTAGGAGTGAAAAGAAGACATCTGCTCATAACATAGCTGTCTTGGTAGATATGACGTGGTTTCCTCTCAATAACGCTTTTTAAACAAGGATATCGACCATGCGATGGCTTCAAAGTCAACCGGAGCATAACCATATCATGTCTATCTTCCTTTCGCACCCGGCTATAGCTATGCGATTACTGCTGGTTCAATGAATTTCGCCTCATTCCCGCTCTAAAACCACCTTCCCAGTAGGAGACTGCTCTAGCCTCTGTTGCTAGGCCCTGTAATCCTCAGGTGGACTTATAGTCGGCTCGGCCATATTATGAGCCATAGTGTGCCAGTGGATCATCAAGATCCACCCAGCCCCACTGGATGTGATGTCTGGCTTCTTTCTTCAACGATCATGAAACATTGCGGCAATTTACAATGTATAGGATATACCAAGCATAAATTTACATGCTTTAGTATCCAGTCTCGTCCAATTTTAAAGACCGAATTCCACAGACTTTCCATTCATGCCAATGATGACAAAGACGTCGGGTAAGACATTAGTGCGGGGATGGTTACTGCCACGATACTGAGGTTCTTCGCAGGGAAGAATACCCTTACCTGAAAGGTGAGTCTTATCATTCACCTTAGCCATGCCTCGATTGACAGTTGGTCTGCCTTGCCCGTAGGAAGCGTTTACCTGGATCATGCGGGAACCACGATCTATGCGAATTCACTAATCAAATAATTCTCCCACGACATGATGTCCAACTTGTATGGCAATCCTCACTCAAGGTCTTCGTCCTCGCAGCGATCAACTAAGCTGATCGACGATGTGCGACTCCGAGCCCTGGCTTTTTTCAATGCTGGTCCAGACGAATATGATCTTGTTTTCGTGGCAAACGCCACCAGCGCGATCAAGCTGGTTGCTGAATCCTTCTGAGACTTTGACTCTCGTGGCTTCTGGTACGGATATCATGTGGACTCGCATACGAGTCTTGGGTATGCGTGAAGTCGCCAAAATAGGCTACCAGTGCCTCAGCGATGGAGATATGGAGGATTGGATCTCTAAACCGTATGTCGAGCCATCGAGCACCCCCACGCTTTTTGCGTTCCCAGCGCAAACGAATCTCAACGGCCGGCGTCCTCCTTTACGCTGGTGCAGGCAAATCTGTGCCGCTGCTGGTGAAGGGGAAGGAGATTTCTCCAGCTTGCTCGATGCCGCCTCATTCGTATCCACGGCACCTCTGCACGTAAATGAGATAGCACCGGGTTTTGTAGCCCTTAGTTTCTACAAAATCTTTGGGTGTCCTGATCTGGGCGCTTTAATTGTTCGGAAAAGCGGCGCCCATGCCCTGCATGGACGCAAAGTTTTTGGCGGTGGCACGGTCGACATGGTGATAGCTTCCGGCGAAAAATGGCATGTAAAAAAGCAAACTTCCATTCATGAGGGGCTGGAAGACGGAACCCTTCCTTTCCACAACATTATGGCCCTGGACGCCGCTCTTGACACTCACAAGCGTCTGCATGGTTCGATGGCCAGTATCTCGGCCCATACCGGGTGGTTGGCCAAAGAAGCCTATGATGTATTCTCTACACTGCGACAATTTAATGGGACAAAGGCCTGTCATATGTACCGATCAGAATATGGAGATCTAAAGCTACAGGGCCCAATTATTGCTTAGGGTTTAGGCTGAATATTCGAGGGGACTGGATTCCCAAAACGGAGATCGAAAAAGTGGCCGCCACGCGAAACATTCACCTGTGTTCCGGGTCAGTCTGCAACCCCGGTGGAACGGCTTGCTCTCTTAGGTGGGCTCATACAGACCTTCGTCGCCACTATGTAGCAGGCTTACGCTGCGGTGCTGACCATGATGTGCTAGAAGGCCGACCGACTGGTGTCCTTCGGATCAGCCTGGGTGCAATGACCAGCCTCGAGGACATTCAATCACTGGTTCATTTCATTCGGGAATTATACATGAAGAAGACCCCACACAAGGATCGATCATCTCTCTGCTCCTCTGGCAAGCAGCAAGTTCTTCGCGCGTCGCTTTTGTGTTGAAGCGTTGACAGTGTTCCCAATCCGTGATTGTGGTGGTTTCAGGATTCCTCCGGGTGAACGGTGGGAAATCCACGAATCCGGGCTGGCGTGGGACCACGCGTGGTGTCTGGTCCATGAAACCACAAGCGAGATCCTGGATGGCCAATCATATCCTCAGATGCTACGGATACGCCCCATTGATCGGCCTGCCCGGGTGTTCTTCGCCTCTCGTGTATGGCGTGGGCTGGAGAAGATCAATTCAATCTTGAGATTCCTCTTCCTGTCGCAAGGCCCACCAGGTTCACTGCGCCAATGACAGGGTCCACCAGGCACTGCGGAAATATGCTGCACTTAAAGAAATATAATTCGAGTCCAATCAAGGCCTTCTTTTCCAAGGTTCTCTGCAAGGTTCCAGCTGTGCCTTGCACTCTAGCCAGGCTTTGCTCGCAGCCCGCCGGTCAGCCTGTGCACTCGATTTCTTGGACTGGGACCTGCCGAGATTGACTGCGCAAGCTCTTCGGACAAGATACCTGTTGACATCCTTTATCTTGCGTCAAGCATGGAAGGAGCCATCTTTCTCCATTCTCCTCCATTGAAAATGCTACATCGATCGTCTTGATATATTCTATGAGGTGCGGGCCTGAAACCAGGTGCGCGAATAAGATCACGCATGTGGTGATCTCTCGTAAGCCGCACGCAAATATCATGGTTGCTGAGCAGATGACTCGTTCGACCAATGAAAAATACCCCTTTACCCAGTACGACAAAAACGAGACCAAGACCAGTACTGAGAATGGCCCCACGCACGTGATAGCCACGACTACAAGATAAATGAGCGATCGTCGTCCCATGAGGATAGTTTGATTGCTGGATGATGCTCAGGTAATGTGTTATACTGTTATCACGAGGCAGGAAACTACCCGTCTCTCGCGTACTATGACAGACTGTGGTACAATCAAGGTGTGTAATCGAAGATAGGAGAAAGTGTGTCTTTACGGTCGGCTTTTTTTGCCTCGTATAATATAGGATAGGATCGGAGACGGACAAATTTGTAATCGAAATGGGCCAGACCAAGAGGCGAACTCGGTGTGGGGCAACTCACCAAGACCTCGGTCAACTAGGTCGGACAAATACTGTAGCAGCGAAGATTTTGTGCTCCTGAACTGCGCAGCCTTCTGTCTGAAAAAGCCTGTTCATTAAGGAAAAGAGAACATGCGGGTCTTTTGCTCAAAGATAATACCCCGCCAGAGGGCATTGTCTGAATTGAAGCATCTTGGGAGCTCTGCCGTCAGAACACCTCTCGATACCGATAAAATCTGCTGATGATATCTACTGGAGGCTTGACTTTGCATGTGTGAGTCATTAAAAAAAGAATTTCATTGAAATGGATATACGGTTTGCCGTTCTTGATGCCATATAAATGACGTTTCGACTTCCAAACTATATACTTCCGCGCGTGCATAGAAACAAGACTACAGACAAAGCTAGCTACCACCTCGGGCGTACGATTCAGACACAACGGTCTCTTCTGACCATTTGATTGATATTAGAAGTTCAGCCCAGGCCTACTCATGGAGACATAAACCGAGTTAAAGGAGTGCTCATGATCGTGGCATGCTGGCATTGGCTCATTTTTCCGGTTCCTGTTGTTGCCTTCGACTGTGGTACTGTGACTTTTCTGGACCTTGAGTTTCATTTTTATTCTAAATGATGAAATAGTTAAGTAACGTGTTGAGTATCACTGACCCTGAACGGTATGGTTTCAGAATTAGCATAGCTCATACAGTCTTATAGTTGATCTGCTGACCATATAGTGATTTGGTAATATGTTTGAGTAGATGACTGGGGGCAGTGAGGTTATTTCGCTCCCCTTCGTGTCAAGAGCGGGATCTTTGAGCACTTGGTGCGTTCGACAAGGCATGGCAACTGACCTGGTGTCATAGAACTCGTCTCGTCGGTGGAGTTCAGCTCGCCCCAGAAATGAAGGGTAAAATGCTCCTTTGAAAGCTGTGAAAGAGACATTCCCCCAAACATTTCTCTTGATTGTTCATATCGTACAAATCGGGTTACTAAAATGCATTTCTATTATTTCTGCTTTGCAAGCCACTTGGCCGCTTCAGTGTTAGCGGGCTGTCGTCAATATGAGTTATGAGGCAATATAGGCTCATGCAGTACTATTGACAAATCTCAAAGTGGGTTTATTTTCAGTCTCGGACTCAAAAATGACTATTACAATGGTGTTCCCTTCAAGGGCACTCCATCAGTGACATGATAATATTCTGTATTTCAAAGCGCTTCACATCTACACCGCCTTCAGTGATCAGCAGCCAGTCCTCGAATAGTATCAAGAGTGTCCCATCCATACTTCGTTAAATTAGCCTCGGGCAATGTGCCGACGTGGTGTGATAGATACTAGCCATTTGCCCTATTCCTGTCCAGCGGCGGCCGTCGTTTATGGTGCTGCGTTCGCTATGTCGTGGAACCAAGGCCTACCTTTGATCATATATTATTTAAGTTTTCTAAGCTGGTTGCAACCCGAGAGGGGTTCTATGTTCCGAAAAGTTCGCCTGAGAGCCCTGCCACTCTAGGCACGCGGCTTCAAAGAATCCATCGAGCTTTGATCCATCCCAAAATAGTAAGCCGAGGTTCATACTTGTCAAGTATCTCTGAATTACTCCTAATCCGTGTTTCATGATATCAATGACGTTTTCCTCTGGCTGCGGCTTCAGATAGTGGAACCAACAATAACTATACCCAGGGATTCATACCTAGTCGGTGTTTTGTGCCTGTTCGCTGCCTCTCAGTGGAATGAATTATGAGTAGTAACTTTAGAGCATTCCAAATTTGTAGCATATGTTCCGCATCAGTAGGATGAATGTTGCGGCCCTACAGTGTCGCGGGGACTGTTTCAGCTCGGAGTCATGCCACATGCAGTCCAACATTGGTTCGTTTGTCACCAAAATCTCAAAAACATAAAGATGATGCATACCTGGAACTATCGAAGCTGGTTTGACTAGAGTTCCCGTCGTTTACATCTGCACCAGCCTGACAGTGGCCACATGCTTCTAAAATGTCCCACAAAAGCCCAAAGCCTCGATGCACATTGTGAGAGCGGTTATCTTCTAATTTGAGCACTCGTAGTCGGGCTCGATCAAAATTGAGTCGGTGAATAAAAGCCACAATAAAATTTCTAAGCCATACACAGCAAACTATGGGGTATGTCTTTTCACGAATCACGAAGTCCGGATGAGGCTGCATGGTCAGGAGATATTGCACTCAATCGAGTCGTTCATCATCGAGGGGATGAAGCTGCTCCATATTATAAAACCCAAAGAATGTACGCAGCAGGTTTTGTTCAAGCAGTTCGTATGTCCGTCGCAGTGTACTGGATGGCCTGCAAGAGGCCGGACACAGACGCAAGAGATTTTGTGATTTCATCTTGGGGGACTTCAACCTTGCCTTGTGATCTTGCGCTTGCTTTTCCATTTTTTCCTCTTCGAGTTATGCATTGGCTCGCACGGTACCCTTTTTAATGGGTGTGGACAAGAGCAAGGTTCAGTTCACTCATCCTGAGGTAGATTGTGGCAAAGCTTTACATCGCAGAGTGAACTTGTGTCCTGGGTATACTGTTCCCTCTTTCGTTGGTATTTCAAACGCTAAGTTGTGTCCTCACATTTAGATCCACCGGACTCTTCTTTGCCACGGACAGAGTCTACATTGCTCGGGGACCTGACACAGCGTCGTCTCTTGTCAACAGCATGCTGGTCTGCCAGAAAGTGAAAGAGGGCTGGAGATCTCTGCTGTTGCAAAGGTGATAGTTGGAGTATCTTCCCAATGCTGATATCATTTTCTTTTAACTCATTTGGCTGGCAAGGTGCTACAGCTGAACCATGCTCTGGCTCCAAAGGGAGCGGCTTGTTTTTCCAATGTAGATTTTCGTGATTCAATTTTTTGCGGCCGCTAACCCCAAACCCTCCAGGACGGTATCAAAACGGGTTCGGGAGACATGAAACACTGAGCTTGATCCGTTTCCAATGGGCAATCCTTGCTCCCCCTGGTGTTGAGAGGCCTTGGCGGGAGTGGCTTCTCCGTGTACGGATAGTCAGTCTAGTAAAGCTCTTTTGAGAGGTCTTCAGTGGCCTCAGTCATCGCTGTTTCGGGCAAATATGACCGCAGATCCATGGTCGCTCGGTCTATAGAGCTTTCCATGTATTCAACGAAATAGGTGGTCACCCGCCCTGCGGAGGGAGAAAGGAGATTAACTGAATTCGATTAGGAGATCAAGACGCATTTGCAAAATATACTGTGTTGAGAGTACAAAGGTTGTCTAGTGCTGAAATTGGACTGCATATTCGATCAAAATAGATTCCACAGCGGGCCATTTCAAAAAGCGCTTTCTTATGTCAAAGTACGCACTTGGAAGTATTGACCCTGATTCGACAAGCCTGCGGAATATATTCATTCGAAATAATACAAGCCGTCTGGGTCTTATGCAAAGAAATCAACCCCTACGTTGCAAACACCTGCAAATGGAACGAGCTTGCCATCTCACATAGCATTCCCTGCGTTGCCGTCTTCGGGCACCACAGGAAGACAAAAGTAAGTTCTTAAAGAGGTGCTCACTGATAATATTCGGTCAATATAAGAACTTGAAGACGTCTCTTTGGGAACAGATAAATGCGACAGTTGAGATAAAAGATCAGGCCAACGACCGTGCCCCGTATTTCTCGTAAGAGCCGATCAACCAAGAGCCGTCCGGCAGTGCCCGGTGATACTCGCCCGATCTTGTCGGTAGAAGGTTTGAATGATGGCAGCTATGTCCAACCCACTCTCTTTGGGTGTACTGGCATGTAGAAGCGGCGGCTCTCGTAGTTCACCCGCAACTCCCCTCCGTCGAGAATCCATTTGTCCAGCCTCAAGCATTGCTCGGAGAAGAGACACGCCTCGTCGTGCGATCATGTCTGTCTCACAATGTGATAGAATCTCAATCCCATCTTCGATGAGCTGCCGGTGCTCAGAAGCCTGACGATCTGGTCGAGGCTGATGGAACATGTCTAGACACAATATAATCTGCAAAGAATCAGTGAAGTGTTATGTGGTAATAGAAGCGCACTTCAATAACTTACACTTGCAGTAACGCTAAACGCTTGATGAGTCCATAACATAGGCCCTCCATTCCGCGTAGCTTCCTTTTGCTCCTTGATAATCGTCCTCGACGCAGCCACGCAAGTCTTCCTGGTAAACTCGAACATGGGATTAACAAAGCTCAGACTGAGAAATTTCCGATGAATCATGATCACCTTGTGAGCAGAGCTGATAGCCAAACTTCGCCGGGCCCATGTCACGTAGCGCGGCCACGATGGGTCCAGGGGCACGTTTTGTAAATAGTATGGTAAATGCTGGGTGGCTAGGGTGCGTAATCGGCGATCGTATTTGAGGACCTCTTCGTATCGGGTGTAGAGTGTATTGCAGGAGGTCACGTCATCCTGAAGGTCGGGCATTAGGGCTGCGATTTTGTATTTCAGGCGTGAGTGGCTGGTCACGGTGGGGTAGTCTTCTGGAAGGTCGATGATGTCGTCGTCGCAGTTTGAGGGCATCGGTGTGGTGAAGCATAGCCGATGGATTAAATAGCTCTCGGTGAAGGGAATGGAAACCCAGTCCTGGATGCAAAGCTGGCACCAGATGCGGCAACCGATTTCTTTTCTCACTAGGTCGTTGGATGGCGAATCATCGTCATTTCCGAGTTGGTGCAGTCCAAGGCCTTGGGCCACCCGCACAGCTGATGCCAATAACACAGAGAATCCGTTGGAATGGCCGAGCATATGGGCTGAGATGGTGAGACTGGCGATGGCTTCGAGAGAGTAGATTGAATGATTGGCCATATAGTCAGCCTGATGTAAACATTTTATTGAAGCTTTCAGCCACCGCTTGGACAAGGTCTCTCGCTCTCTGTCACGGAACCCCCATGACTGCGCAGCCGACCTTGGCGCACAAGCCATCGATCCTGTGAGGATGGCGAACAAGAAGGAGATCCATTGCAGATTGATTCCTGGAGCATCTACGTTCCCACCTCTTTCCTCATAGAAATGGTCTAGTTCCTGTAGGAAAGTAGCTGCATGGAACGCTCCATGGTACCAGAGCAGACATTCGCAGTGGTACTTGGCGAGTTGATAAACCTTTTGTCTTGTGGGCAGTAGTGCCTGACAAAGAGCAGCAACCCGAGGCCCTAGCATGCGCATATTATCCCAGTCATCTTCAGTGGGCACGTCCCCTGGGGAATGATCCAAGTTGTTTCGCCTGACAATCTCATCCTGGTAGGTGGGATCCTTGCGACGACCCCAAGCCAGGAATTCTAGTATCGTCGCAGCATCTTCTACCTCTTTCGGATTGGTATCTGATTCATTATCCACCGAGCGTTGCGCAGGGACCGATAATCCCTCGATTGGTATTGACTCGGCCCGGGAGAAAGAAGCGTCGTGTACTTCAGAATCCAGCGCAAACATCCGCGGCCGAAGGAGCGATTCTCTGGCCTCGCTGAGCGCGGCTTCGAGTTGAGTCACTCTATTCAGGAGTATTTCGATGGTCCTTGAAGCATCCACACTCGGCTGTGCCAGGATATTTCGCTCACTTCGTCCCTCGGAGTGAGAAACGCTCGGGTTTGGGTTTGGAGAGACCCGCTCGTGCGGCAGAGCGCATCGAGTGCCCTTCCTAGTGCAATTACGGCATGGGAGGACCTTGTCACACTTGACCTTGCGACGGGTACATTCGACACATGCCAGACGTTTTCGGTGAATGCCGCTGCTCATTGTGGCTTTGCGTTGATGGTGTGTAGTAGTAGAAAGGAGGCTTGCTGCGATTGTCTTATCTGCATCCCCGGAGGTTGGCGACCGGCCGATATTACGCGATTACACAAGCGGACTACTGCCCGAGTTTCTTATCTTGAGCCTACCATACCTACAGTGTTCTCTATCCTGAACAGTAGGTAATTTCGATGGGAAATACGAGACTCATGAGGAATCATTTTTAACGATATCACGACAAAGATTATTCTCTTTGATTCCCTGGTCGCTCAAGAGTTCAAGGCTAAGAATCCTTCGAAATCGATTGTCCGCAAATCCGGCTGAGTGTTTTAACGTGTAGTATATTTTCTATACGAGGTTGATAAATTTCTTCCCTATATCTAGCAGACAGTAGGACCTTGCTCAAACCATAGCATCATGCGCATTGACAGACAACCTTTATGTAAAGATCTTGTGTTAGCAGTAGAGTGTTCGGACGACACCGACTGTGACCTGCAACGATCGAGAGCTCGGCCGAGGGGTCGGCCGAGGCTGGAGATAAGTAATGGGGGGATTGGGGGCAATCTACAAAGTCCACAGCAGACAACAATCTATATATACTTTGCGCCGGTCGCGAGCTTTTCTGTGCTTGATAGATCAAAGGGTATCGACCAAGCTAAACTCACCTGTGCCTAACTGCCACGATAACGAGAACGATGGTTCAAACTCAATACGTCGAGCGCGTTATCCCGCAAATCTCACTCGGCGACTTCGAGAAACGCATCAATAAAATCACGGCGGAGTTGATTGACGCGGCTCAAAATGTGGGATTCTTCACATTGGTCGATCATGGAATTTCCAAGGAGGATATTGAAGCTATGTTCATGACGTCAAAGACCTTCTTCGACCTCCCGGACGACGCCAAAGCGACCGTGCCATGGAATGCCGACAACGTCGGCTGGGAGAAGGACTCACAAATCCGACCATCCACCGGCAAGCCAGACAGCAAAGAGTCCTATCAGCTTCAATTCGGAGACAACATGAAGGGGCTATGGGTTGCCGACGAGCATCTCCCGGGGTTCGAAACCACTTCCCTAGCATTTATGCATCGCGTGCAACAGATATCTGAATGTCTAATGAGGTGTTTCGCTCGGGGCCTGGGATTTCCTGACGACTTTTTCATCAAGTGTCATGATGTATCGCGGTCGGATTCTCAAACCACAATGCGGCTACTTCATTACTTTGCTCTGCCGGAGGAAGCCGACGGGAAGGAGTATCATCGCGCAGGGGCACATGCGGATTGGGATTTTCTGACTCTACTGTTTCAGAAAGAAGGGCAGAGTGGGCTGGAGATTTGTCCCGGTCGGGAATCCGTTACCGAGTTCGGCATTGGGGACAAGTGGACCAAGGTGGAGGCGAAGACTGGGGAAATCGTTTGTAATATCGGGGACTTGCTCATGTCGTGGTCGGACGATCGGTTCAAGTCGACTTTCCACCGGGTTAAGGCGCCGTGTGAGCCTGGGGATTATTTGGGGGACCGATACAGCATCGCGTATTTCAATCAGCCCTGCAAGGATACGTTGATTCAGGGACCGTTGAAAAAGTACCCGATAGTGACCGGGGCTCAGTTTACCGAGAGCGCGATGAAAAGGAATTTTGCTGCGTTGCAAGAGAAGTTGAAGATGGTCGCGGCGGCATAATTTGGAAGGGATTCGTTCGCGTGAGGGACATCTGGGCAGTTGATGTTGGGGAAGTGCTTCAGGTCGACGCTAGTGCAGTAGCCTTAGGATCTTGCACGTCCTGAAGACTGTGTGGTTATCAATTGTGGACCTGAGAATGCTCGTCAAGTGAGAAATAGAGATGAATGAAAATAATACTCTTATAAGTTTCCAAAATCCCACCAAGTGGAGAACCCGTCGACATTTCCAAGTGTGGACTTTGACTCGGGGTAGCCAAGATTATCCATATCGATGAATTGTGGAGGCTCTGTCCAGAGACAGGGTGTGTTGGCCATCAAGCTGTCGGCAGGTGCAACTAATTTATCTCCCATCGTTGTACTTGCCGGCGACGCGGGTGCTGGAGCAATGCGTGGTGGTAAGTTAGGTGGCATGTGCGCGGCTGATCCTCCATCAGCGGTATTGACGATGATATCTGGGGACATTGCGACAATGATCTCAAGAGTAGACGACGGGTTTTCCACTTCCTCTGGAAAGACGGCAGGGCTGAGTGAAGGGTGGAGCAAGCCAGTGAAGGATGTCTCTTGTAAAGTTGGTGTGCAATTGATTTGCAGGAGCTCCCACATCAGAGGAATACTGAGATGTATCTTTGATGGTTCCCAATCAAAGTCCACCTTTTCTGAGCCGGATGCAATGCGAGTCATCTTGTCTAGCGTTTGATTCTGGATTTGTTATTATTGGATTTGCTATTCTGTTCTCTTGCAAATTGTCATACCAGTTTTTCACAAGCGGGAGAAACGATACGAAGCTCTTCAAGAACCTTCTGCATTTTGCAAAGTCGGTTTTTGATTTGTACTTCGATCTTGGATCGGAGGCACAGCAATAGTAAAGATGAACGGAGGCAGCAATTGCAGCTGCGTGACCGAAGAACGGATCGATGAGCCGCATCTTTTTCTCGGACACCATGTCGATAAGTCGAACAATCCAGGTCGTATGCAGGAGCACCAACTAGGATGACCGCCTCCAGAAGGTGTTGGGATCGTCAGGTTGTGATTGTATTGAGATGCCACAATGTAAAGGAACGGATCATTGAGAACCGTCAAAATGGAGTGATAAGTGAATGGCAGCTTGAGCCAAGGGGTCTAGTATCCCCGATTAGCTCTGACCTCCTCGGCCCTGCGCTCATAAAACTTCACTGAGTCATATCGATGGCACAGTGAAAGTTTGTTCTCAAGCTCCGTGAGGTCTGATAGGATAGTGGACAACCGTTTCTGGAATCATCATTCAATCTGCTTACAACTTCTCAATTAATGCATCGTATAGCTTCCATTGCTTTTAAAATCGGGACTACAGATTGCGTGTCGGGATGAGTGGCAGCTCGGTGTCCATATATCGTTTGTGTCTCCCGCCTCAGGAAGTACAACGCTTGTTACCTCTACTTCGTGCAAAGCCCAATGAGAGAACCGAAATAAAATATATCCCGTCATGGCCGATAGTGCGCTCCCCAATCTCTACCGGCTTTACTCTGGCAATACTGATGACGATAACACCACGCTCCCCTTCACAGAAAAAGACTTTGATGAGCCGACCCCAGTCATCAGTGAGCTTGGTTGTGATTATTTACATTGCAATGCATCTCAGGATGGTCACATACTGCGCTCAGAAATGATTTTCCCTCGAACTTCCAATCGCTTCAATACAGGAGCCCAGGTGGGAGGCACTGATGTAAGGTCCATCGACACCCCACCCAAGTCTGAACGCCCGGTGCATCGGACTAGGGGTCTGGATTTCTTGGTCCATACCCTGGGAGAGATGGAGGTAACTCATTTAACGGGGGAGCAACAACTCTTACGACCTGGCGATTTAACCATCCAGGGTTTCAGTTTTACCAAATGGCGCAATCCAAGCAGGAAATGATGGGCTCGGATCATGGGATTCATGTGTACGGCCCGTTCTATTGAGAAAGGAAAATCCACCGTCTAGAGCAGGTTTTCCCAAGCAGTGAAACAGTTCGTTATTTCTACATTCCGCAATGATTTAGTAATACTTTAAACTGTTTTCACAGAACTACATAGACGTACTGTATAGTTATGTTCACGGATATGTATAGTTGTTTTGTATCCTGCATACCTCTTCTGAGGGATCAGGCAAATTAAATTTATGTCGATGTGTATTTCTTGAGTCCACAAATATCTTTGGGGCTGATGTAGACGCAGCTTTGATCCTTGATGGAATTTCAAGTTATGAACAATCATTTCTATCGGACGTGTAGCATTTCCTCCCGCCTTTCCTGCTTTCGTCCAGATGTCCCTTCCAATCTCAAATCGTCTTCCGAAGAATCGGCAATCCCCCCTGTTTCTCATCTCTACCGACCCACCAGCTAACCACGGGATCTCGTCTCTCAAATCATGCATACGCTTCGTAGTTTCGTTAGGACTCCTTTCTGTAAATTAGATCATCTCCACCTTCGTGTGTAACCCTAGCAGCGCGCGTGTGGTCCGTTCATCCAAATCGTCGTCAATCTTGAGATTGATGCCGAATATCTATGTGTTGTACCACACCTCGTTTAGGCGGTTGTTCCACTTCTCCCCTCCACCTGTATAGACAAGTTCCCTTCGGAGCCAGGATGGGTGGGTCGTACGCGATCCTGGTGATAGCATTTCCCGTGCTAATGAGCACTTCCCTCAAATTTGTGTTTGATAGCCTGCTCTAGAAGTTGAATATGTTGGTGTGCAGTTTCCGTGGTAGTTCCATTCTGTCTGCTATACACGTAGATAAAGCGAACCATTCTTGCTCATTTGCTAGGATAGCAATAACTCCTATGGGCCCATGGAACCAGCTGAATTTATGTATTTCCACTATAACATGTATATACATCTGCTGGTTGGTGAGTGTGCCTTATGTTTAGTGGCTTACTGGTGAAAGGTCCAAGAGATATAATATCCAATCACAACACTTTTTCTATATTCGTTGGAAAGCTCAGAAATCCTAAAAGTAGATGCTGTAAAATTTACAGCACGGAAAAAGGAAAGTGAAATAATAAGGTATCTATCTCAACACTGGTCATAAGTTCAAAAGTTGACTCCAGTCAACAAGGACGGCCAAGCTTTAACGGGTTGACGATCGAGCACCCGCGCCCGCGCGACCGTGGCCTGACGCTTTCTGCAGTGTAGACGGACTAAACAACACACAGCTTAGATAACTAACACTCAACCGAGGCCGGAAAAAATCCATGATTCTTAGCGATGACAATGTGAGCACTCTTAGTAAAATCAAATAATGAAAAGCTACCATTGCCTTAGTATAGAAGACCGCAGATTCAATAGTGAGCTAACACTTCTTAACCGACTCACTTTCACTCACTCTCATTATGAATCTAGCATGATTTTCTCGGTGAGCATCTAGAATCGCACTAAAAATTTCGCTGCAAATAGTTGCGGTAGAACGAAGATATGGGTTGTAACGGGCCTCACTTAGGATAGGCATCGGGTCCTTCAACGTTTGCTACCTAGTAGAGCACGTGGCGATAGGAGCCGAGAAGCCTATAAATTCGTCCTCTCCTCCCAGCAATTCGTTCTATAATGCTATCACTTGACTACGCAAACGCGAGTAGGCCTTCGGTTTGAGGCACCTGATAAGTCTTCCCTTTGACCCTACTGGAATACTCACTATACTGACATCTATAGATACAATATGGACCGACAAGCTAGAAAGTGCTTGTGAGAGACGTGAATACCACTAGGTCTACTATGCCATCCATGCCAGCCGACCAAAAAAAAAACAAGATTTGGGTTAGCTGGTCAAAGTACCTATACGAACATCTCTCCAATATAGCAGCCGACCACTGTCCCGCCCCTGAATGTATTAATGCAAAAAAGCGGTTTCCATACTGTATAGGTATATAAATCTTAGCGCAACCCTTTCCGCGACTAGACTGACTGTAAAGACGATGCGAAACAACCAGATCCGTGCATTCCGTCCAATATACACCAGTCACGGAGCCCTTTCCCGCGTCTTCTTTCAGAACATGCGAGTCATGTATCCCTCGTCGATCGGTAAGCTAACGATAGATAGGAAACCATTGACAGCGCACCAAAGTGAGTCCGAACCAGCACTCCGTTAGTGCTCCGCGCAGGGTCATGGCTTACACACCGATTCTTACCCTGTCACTTTAAACCATATAGCATGTCCTATGTGAGATACTGCAAACTAAGGTACGGCCATACCCAAACTCTGTTTGAGCATCTCTCGTTAAGCGACCACTTGTTGGATCCTTGGCGTACTTTTCTTCGTCCTTGCTCGGGCGCACTGGCCTTGCTGGAGGGTTGATCTGCTTCTCCTCGGGGACCTTTGGGTCAATATATCTCCAAACATCCAGGCTTTGTGCGATCGTCTCCACTTGTGCAATCTAGGTTCGCTATTGGAGCGAGTTCTCCCTCGGGGTGCTTGTTGCCTGGTCGGCGGCACTCGTAGGAGCGAGATCATCGTAAAGGAGTGACATCTCGGCGTCACACAGTTCGTACTTGTTGTTCGGAGGAGAGAAAGAGACTGGCTTCGTGCTTTGTAGCGCTTGCTGATTGCACTGGCTGTGTAGCACTTGCTGCTGCTCTAGGGGTTCAGGGGTACGGAGCTTGAAGAAGCAACCGTGGAGTAATCTACTGAAGATATCAAGAGAGTTACTGGCTAACCGGGCTCATAACTGTCGAACAAGTGGGACTGATGTGAACTAATACCAAAAAGCTTACTATACAGAGCAAGTGGTAAAATGAGTGTAATTTCTAAAAAGGAGCAAGTTGCTCAGCTTGGTAGCTTGCTACTTGCTGACTAAGTAGAGCTAAGGTGGGCCCTGTAGCTAGAAAGTAAATACGGGAAATGACGGGACGGGGAAGTGTATTTCCGGCTGACAGTTTTTAACACATCCCGAGATTACATAACATTCTGCCCATCAAATATCCCTATGACAAGCGACGCGAGGCATATTCTCTGCTGCCCGTATAGAGTAGGCAGTGATGGCGGTAAGATAGGTGGGTCCAGGGTGTGTTAAAAACTTATGGAACATGGCCGTACTAACTACTGTAATTAGCAAAGAGATGTCAAGCAGCTGACTTTTGGCCCCGAGCTGAAATCTTCATTGTGGGCGCTATTCATGTAACTAAACTAGATGCAATGCTGACCGCGCTTCACGATCATCCCATTGGTTCTTGGCGGGCTTTGGCGTTCCTGCCAAGGCTTGGAAATAGGCTCGCTGTCCTGGGGCTGAAACAATAGCTTAAAGCGTCTCCCGTCGAAGGGCCCGTCCTCCAGGGGATTTAAATGAATCCTTCCCCATATCGTGCAGAAAAGACGCACGCTTGACTGGAAATTATTGTTGAGCGTTCGTTGCCTGAGGCCTGGCTTAAGTCACGTGTCAGCATCACCACGCAGCAATGGCGTTCTCTTTTTCTTTGCAACTCCTCCTACCGCTCCTAGTCACTGTTGCGAGCGCCCAATCCACTTGCCCCGATGGTGATGAAATAATTTACTCACCATTTCGACCTTGGTTCAGCTTCGATTATGGCCCTGAACCGGGTGACTGCTGGAAAGCCGCCATCTGCCTGCTCAGCCAGGCCGACCCAGCCCGCAATCAGCAATTCGCAGCCACAGCACTAGTCATGGGCCTGCTCCCTATGGTCTTTCGAGACATTGCATGGCCTGAAAGAAGACTCGTGCTTGTTTCATCGCCCCTCCCTACCCTAGCGGAGGTTGTTGTTCGGGCGCTTGGACTTGAGCCCATCGTTAAGGGGGGTGTGACCGGGTGGTCGGATGAAGATAGCGAGCGCTGGATAGATTGGCTGCGCAGGAGCTCGATTGCAGGGGGGGCGCTGCGGTCGAGATTTCAAGCCATGATGCTAGTGTTTGCCAGTCTCTTTGCCCTGCTGGCCTCGTATGCGGGGCTGGCACTGGTGGAGATCTACTCGAAGCGGACTGCATTAGGCTGTGTATACCCTATCATTGCGTTGACTTGGTGTCTTGTTAGTGTTATTCCCGCTGCGATCCATGTGCTCTTTGAGAGCTTTCGGCGGAGAGGAGTGAAGAAGGGTTTGGAATCGGGCGATACTAGGGCATCCGCGGTGCAGGGGGCAGACCAGCAATGGCCTGTGCAGCTGTCGTGGGGAATTTACTATATTATTGGAACTTTGGTGTATACTTCCATCATGGCGATTACCCCGTTGGAGCTGTTTGTTTGGGTTGTTACCATGGCTGTTGTATCGGGTGCTGGGAAGATGCTTGCGCTTTACATCTGCTTGATGTTGAGGAGTCCGGCATGACAGGACTGTGGTTCGAACTGGGGTAGGCTGCTGCCTGGGAATCTCCCTTACGTCGAAATCATGAGTATATGTGTACTTGAAATGGTCCATAGTCAATCCAGGTCAGTGGATTCGCCAGATACCTGCAATATATATATCTATAAAAATACCCGCCGTCTTTACCTCCTTCTAAGTGAAAATTACAGCTATACCCTGATTTTTACTTTTATACTCCGTACTCTCCACTGTATTACTTAGATTAGCTCGGCTGAGTGGAATGCTGACCGGGTTCAATGCTCAGATAAAGCCAATAAGGCTGATATTGGTTGAATGTGCCTTAAACCCAAAGACATACTCCCTTCTTTTCTTACCGTTTAGGGAACGCACTTCCCGGCGGCCCCTGCTAGCAGTGTCTCGAAGTCAGCCTCCTGCGACTCCGCCCACCGAGTGCTGGATGTTGACCGGGCGTACCTTCGTACGGTAGCCAATTGAGCCAGCGATGTACGACAATCCAACACCAGCTGATTCAGAGCTAATTTAGGTTTCTTTGAGTCCGAGTCGTTGCCATAAGAAAATATTTCTAGGGCGAAATCAAGGCATTGAAGCGTAGAAAGAGCAAGAGCCTGTTTTAAGTAGAATCCATGGATATTGACAAGCAATTTGATACCTAACCCCCATCCGGTGACATAAAATGCCCTATGTGATGAAACGTCCACCAGGTACCTGCATATTCGAGCACCATCACTCCCAATCCACATATTGAATATTGCCTGAGAGAAGTAGAAAGAATGATTAATTGATTTCCTATCCGATAGCTCTTTTTAAATCAAGATTACATGGTGTTAGAGTGGCGGATTATAGGACGACACGCACTACTAGAAAATCCGCTGTTTACTACTATAACGCCGATATCATCCACAAAAAAGTCTGAGATGAATAGGAAAAACAAGGTTGTATTATTTCGCCTACCTAGTTATCTGTATTAATTTTTTATATTATCAAAATCATGTTGCCTAAGAATATACCAATTTTGGTGGAATCCTTAGCAGCAAAAAGGTACATAGAACAAAAGTACTGACAAGGCGAATACATGGGATGGGAACAATCATGTAACTTAATACATGAAAAATACTAGCGCCGCTAAACAGAACAGCCGCCCCACAACCCTGTCCGCAAGTAGGAGATGGCATGCTTTAAGGAAACACAACTCTAGTAGGAGCTAGTTGGGGACGGCAGTAAACTATGAGGGTATACAGTGCTGTAGGAAAACAACTAAGTATAAGTATTATATCTCCACTTATGATGCCTTTACACTAAATGCTATATATATGATGAGTCTGAGGTTCTGGAGCCTCTTGGCGTTTGCCGTGTCGATCCTGGAAGTCTATAGAACATCGGGACCAGTCACTGGTTCGGGATGTTGACCTCCAAGCCCCCCTCATATCCTTCTAGTGTCCGTTGAGGCATCGCTTCCGCCTCTTTATATTCCCCTTGGTTGCCAAGCACTGAGCCAAGTGTACTGACACTGGTGAGCGTGGAGGGATGCTCGCGTCTAAGCACATTCTCTCGTGCTTCCATAGCCCGTCGATGCATCGATTCCGCATCTTCGCATTTGCCTTGGTTGTCAAACACTAAGCCAAGGTTGTTGATACTAGTGAGCGTGGAGGGATGCTCCCATCCAAGCACCTTCTCTCGTGCTACCAACGCTCGTCGATGCATCGCTTCCGCCTCTTTATATTTCCCTTGGTTGTCAAGCACTTCGCCAAGGTTATTAACACTGGTGAGCGTGTGAGGATGCTCGCGTCCAAGCACCTTCTCTCGTGCTTCTAAAGCCCGTCGCTGCATCGCTTCCGCGTCTTCATATTTCCCTTGCCTATAGAGCACATAGCCAAGGTTACTGACACAGGTGAGCGTGTCAGGATACTCGTGTCCAAGCACCTTCTCTCGTGCGTCCAACGCCCACCGCTGCATCGCTTCCGCCTCTTTATATGTTCCTCGAAGCAGTAAATACCATCCGCAGTTGGAGGAAATCGTGGCCACATGCAGTCGATCTTCATACTCATCAGATATCGACTTCATCACTTCTTTCGCATGCGGAAGCAGCCTTTGACATTTAGTCCAGCTCTCGTACCGTCCATCCGGAAACACCTGTGCCATGATGGCTCGCGACTTCTCTTGCCACTGTGCTAGCTCTAGGTGGATCTCTAGCCATGTCCGGACCGATAACTGTACTAGTCGGTGCATATCAAATGACGCTGTTTCAAGTGCAACCCGAACAAGCGAATAACTGATCAATGGCGCCACTGCGTCTTCAAACTGGAGCCCATCACCATCAGCTCGGACGAGGCCTTCGGGGATCCCCTGCCGATCGAACATGCTCATTAACGCCAGTAGATCTGTCGCCGCCGGCTGGTCATGGCGGATTTGCTCGAAAGACAGTTGCCATGTAGTAATGATCGCATGCCGAATACTGGGGTCCCGCCGGAGGTCTTTGGCGTCTGCATGCTGAAGAAGATGTGTCTGGTTCGACTCACTCTCACGGAACAACTGAAGGTAGCGCGAAACCGTGACCCGAGATAATCGATTGGCAATATAGGACCCTGCCTGAGTGATTGCCAGTGGAATATATTCAAGTGCCTGGACCAGCGCCTTCTCATCCTCTCCAGACTCTCCCGATTGGGGGCCCGGAACCCTTACCCGCAACAAGGCGAGGGACTCGTCCTCATTCATTGGCTGAACCGTGATCACATGACTACCACTCCCTACCAGATTCCGTGCCGCAAGACCATTTCGCGATGTGATCAGGATTGATCCATGGGCGGCCTGGGGCAGGAAGCTCACCAGTGGCCCTTGTTCATCGGATATATTGCCACTGAAAAAAATACCATCATCATCCGCATTATCTAACACCATCAGCCAGCACCCATTGCGTGGATCACACAACCACTGATACACGAGCTGGAAGATGTTCATCTTCGGATCGTCCCGTCCCGGAATCTCCGCGACTGCGGCAATCTGCTGGTAGCCCTGTTCCAACCGCGCCGTATTACTGGCATGGATCCAAAAAACCCACGTGTTCGGTATGGATTCTCGCACGTGATAAGAATACTCGATGGCTGTCTGAGTTTTTCTGAATGGCAGTTCTATCAGTTGGTATTCAACAGGCTTTCCTATGGGACAGCTAACCCAACGCCGGCCAAACCCTCTAATGCCACCCGCTTATGACGCTGGCCGATCCCCTCGTGTCCTTCCTTGATCGCACTAATGACAGCTTCCCGGCCCACAAACATCGGGTCCTTTTTAAAAGGCACCGTGGAGCATGGCCGGGGCTTCTGACGCGTCTGCGCTGCGAACCGTTCCAATTAGCTCGCACAGAGACACTGGAGCAAATCACCTACCAAACCGAGCCGCCACCACCGATGGCGCGTCTTTTGAGAACTGCCGCAGTCTATCGAGCGCCGTTCGATACCCGGCCGCGTTGCGCGTGTCGAATTTGACCACCATCGAGTGATCTGCATGTAGCGGCACCTTGTCCTCTACATGGTCGGGAAGGTGGAGAAGAGCCGAATCTGCGCTAACCGTCGTGATAAAATCCCCGGTGCGTTTCCATCGTCCGCTTTCTGAGTCCTATTGCGATCGTCAGTATATGTCACAGCCTGTTCCAAGCAAAGACCAATACGTACTAATACCAACCGCCTCGTCTGCTCCGTCTCATAGAAGCTGACTACTTTACGGTCCCGTATCAGATTTTTAAAGTCGGCCAGCTGGTGGGTCAGTAGGTCCGATTTACTAGAGATCTGTTGCAGCAACTGCTCTCGCGGGTGGCTCTGATCCCCAGCAATCATCTGCTGGATATCATCCATCACTAATCCTTTATGTGGGATGGCGAAGAGGATCATGCCGTACGTGGCTCGATGCAGCGACGTTATGGCCGGATGGTCTTCCTCCATCGTTTGGATGGCCCTCACCAGGCACTATCTTTTTATGTTAGCATATGATATATATTACCTAGTTTCGCATGGTGACCCACGTGAGCCAAGATAATGCCTCCAAAGCTGTGCGCGATGAATATCAGAGGCCTCTGCTGGAGCTAGTTATAGAATTAGCCCAAACTTGCTATCAATAGACAAGTCAGAATGTCTCTCCTACCTCCTTCGTGTTCCGAATTTTCTTGATCTCCTCCATCAGCTCCCGCCCGTAGTCAAGCATCGTATCGACTCCGTGGCTCGACAGCTTGGAGTTGTATCCGTAGATCATTGTGCGGCACTGCGGAAGATCCTTCGATAGGAAGTCACGGAGCCACATTCGACCAAGATTTCCTCTTCCTTGCCACGATCCGTACGCATGTCCATCCAGTCCGGCAATGGCAATGATGCTATATTGCGTTATCAGTTAGTACGAATCTCTCGACGTAGATAACGGTATAGATCCTTACTCTGCAACCACTGGCTCAGTTTCCTCCGGCGCGTAGAGCTGGGTAAATCCAAAGAAGTGGCAGTCAAAGTTGACGTCATTGTCCTCCATCTCGACCTGCCAGTCTCTAAGAGGGTCGACTCTCAGCTCATGAAGGAACCAAGGCATCCCACCGCGGAACTGCACCAGCGCCACCCTCTCTGTGTCACTTTCATAGCATGAAGGCACGACGGTGATCTCAGCCTTGATATGCGAGCTCTCGTCGTCGGTGAAGTTGTCATTAAGTGCCTCCTGCAATGCGGTCTTGAGATCCTCATCAGGCAGTTCCCTCGACAGGCCTGTAACCCGGAAGACGTGCGACTTTCTCTGACTAGCCATCGTGATTTTTACTCATGCTTGATGATAGAATGGTATATTAGATAAGAGCGTACTGTATGTCCTTCGTTGATCGATGGCTATGTCAGCCTTGCTCGCGAGGCTGAATCAATCAACACGTGCGGGGTATCGAGCATGCACCTACAATCATTACTACTATCACTTCGTAGATACTACTGCATACCAAATGTAACTTGCTCCCAAATCATTTATTGATAGAGAGTATTCAAGCCACATACTGTATCAGACTTTTGCTATCGAAAGGCTATGCTCCTACAAACACTAATTACCCTAACCTTCACTTCCCTTAATGGCTTGTGACATCCTCCGTAATTACATCACGTGCAGTAATTTGAAACTAAACTTGCCTCGGTTTAGCTCAAAGCTAGCCGTTTTAGACTTAGCGCCTCGTAAGACGACTGTGGTACGTGAGACCACCTCCAGAGCCAAATGAAAGAATTTCCTGTTCCTCAAAAAAAGGGATCGCTTTGAATCTAAACTCCACGTGACCGATGCCCCATTCTAAGGCAGCAGATGCGGGTTTCCATCAAAAACGACCGTTTAACTTGAATGTCTTGTCAAACACTCCTGGTGTAAACTGACAGATGGTGAAATCTGCCCGGACGAATGTACCTGTATTTGCTCTGCCGTTGACGGTCAAGTATCAAGTTCGCTTTTCCCCATCGACTTCTGCTTAAAACTGTCTAATTACTTTTACCTAAGTGACCGTGTTCAATTTTTCTCTCTGTGTTAAAAAGCGGTTTTCTTGGGCAGATTATCCATACAGCATCGCCATTTTCGACAGACTTGCAGGAAACAACTGTGACTGTTAAACACGCAGCGATTGTTTGAGTCTGGAAAATACACCAACGGTCCTCAAGAATCCACGAGTCTAGTTGTTCAAGAGTCTTCAGACATCGTTATTTACAGGGTTGTGGAGATTCATATGGGGATTCAATTCCGTTTGGTCTCCTCAAGAACTCGTGGGATTCGCCAAGTCTGTAAACCGAGAAAGCCACGCCAAAATGACCCTTTCAAGTCGCTATTAAGGATAATTTAAATACCAATCTAAAGTACGATTGAATTTCCTGGGATCGCCTTAAATTCCTAGTTAATTACACATAGCCTTCTGGTCTTCGCTGTGGATCCTTTCCCCACAGTAGCCGATGGGCTATCGCAAACTTCCATTCCCTGATCACTTTGAAAAGGAAAAGAAACACCAACATCAGCATTAGGACACCCGTCACACATCCAATCAAAGTGCTGAGCCAGTAGCAACATGCAAATAATAGGGCACTCGAATATCTCCCATCAGAGTCGGAGGCAGCGAGGTTGACTTGCATACAGTTCAGGAAAATCGAGAAAAATGCAAATGCAGATATCACCGGCCCTTGAATTCGAGCGAAGTACGCTCGATACTGATGGTTTACACGCTGATATTGGCTTTTGCCCAAGAGAACAGGCGCGTAATAGTTCAGTCGGGACAATCGGATCTCTCCGTAATGATATCGTCCCGACACTTCGTCATCCGTGATGTCCTTGAAACGGGTAGTGAACTGACAGAACCGAGGCCAGGTCACTTCTTTAGGAACCAGGCAGAGAGCCGGATCTTGTGCGATTCGTAGATCTGATTCATACTGGATCAGGTAGAAATACGTTCGCAGATACCCGAGTGCGGCCTTTCTGAGCTTCGCCGTCGCGCCATATTTGGACGGATCGCTTATGAACGTATCCCAGAATACGTAGGACGTTATGTACTGGGGAAGGGGTTTAAGAAAGATTTGATCGTCGATCCAGACGAGATGCAGCCGAGGATCCTCGGTCACGATGATCTGTCGGCCCTTCACTCGCTGTCGATGCAACGGAGAGATATTGCTGCCATCCTGCTTCGACATCCACCAGAGTCTGTCCGATATCGACTCGAGGTCCTCTGACCAGACTTCCTGGCGAATGAAATCACACAAACCCTTATCATCGCTCATTCTGATCCGGGGATGACCAGGCAGATAATCAAGCGATGCATCGAGATCATTATTGAGCTGATCGTCTTTGTGGAAGGGACATGGCAAAGAAGAGGTTTCTGCTCGAGTTGACATTTTCTGAAAGTGCCAGATTTAGAATACGCTAGAGCTTAATATGATGCTAAATGCTGAGAAATAATTAGAAAGATTGGTTTCTTCGATGAAATTTATCGCTGAAAAGTGGGGTTTACGTTTAGCCTTATGAGAGCCTACAGGAGCTCAGCCTCGTGGAACACAACGGTGCCTAAGCTGACCATATAAGGCACATCTAAAACAGCCTAGCCAACGAGAATTTCGGGTGAAATCTTATAATATTTCCTTTCAGTGGTGATAAAACTAAGTGTCAATAGTAGACGTAACTACATTTTGAGGTATCACTTGCAGATAATGGTATGCGATTAGGGCGCAATATATATAGGATCTAACAATGGCCAAAAGAACCGGTAAGCCACTTCTGCGCGATGAGATGATAGAAACATAGGAAATTCTCAAGTGCCGAACGAGCCTATAAATCTAAAACTAAGCAATAATCACTCATATTCCATGTTTGAATCTCCTGCTCAGCTTTGCGCTTCTCCTCCGATTTCGAAAGCAGCTTGTCCCCGGCTTTCGATCTCTTTTCCCGCGTCGGATCTTGCTTCGTCACCATCATGTCGCGTTTCTTCTGCGCCTCAACAATATCTTCGTAGCTCATCACTTTTGCATGTCCTACAACCGTCAGGCCACTGGATTGTCGACAGGCCTTTTCATTGTTCTGCTCAAATAGGATCCGGTTCTCCTCCAGCAACAAGGCGCGCTCCGCAAAGACCTTTTCGGCCGCGCGGCTCAGTGTCTGCAGACGATGTTTGCACACACTGTCCAGACTCTGGGTGTCTTGCTTGACCTCGCTCCGAAGCAAGGCGAAATGATCAGAGGTGTTTGGAGTGTGATAGAGATTAGAGGACACGGTCGCATGGTCCACAGGGATTTCGGTCTGTATCTCGGGCCGGGACGCTGGAAATTCTCGGAGAACGCGAGGCGGATCGAATGGAAAGAGGCCGCTTCTCGACCAGGCGGATCGTATATTGCGGGGTGTGAATGCCTCTTTTCGGGCGCGATCATAAAGATAGGTAAAGTGTGGCTTGCCGATGTTACTTACTCCAGCCCGACATGCCTGCTCAACCTGTGCCCGGTATGCCGTTTTCAGAGGACTAAAGACACCCACATCGCACGGCTGCAGTTTGTGAGACGTATGAGAAGGGAGACGACATAGGATAATGCGGTTAGCCAAGCGGAATTTCATGACCTCCAGGGACTCATGGGTGCCGAAACCATCGCAGATTAAGAGTCGTGGCCGACCGCCCGCTCGGTCTCGAGTCTGCGGATCGAATACTTGTTCCACCCAGTACATACTGATGTCTGTGTTCGTATAGCCTGTTTTAGAGCAGGCAAAATGCCACCCGGGGGTGGCGTGAGTGGTCCACGAGCTGCGGTGCGTGGCGGCCGGACAGATAATGAGAGGATGCAGGAATCGGCCATCGGCGGAGATGCATTCAATAGCTGTGACTAGCGTCCGCTTCACCGTGGTCCTTCGATGCTTTCTCAAATCATCCTTGCTGACGAGCACTTTGAGGGAGTCGAGGACCCTGAGAAGAACTCCTGTCTCGTCCATATTATACACATTCTCCGGGAGAATGGCCGGATCAGCCAGCTCTCGGCTAATGATGGCAAACCAGTGTCGGACTTTATCTTCGATGTGCCGGCCATCTCGCTTCCAATCGATCGCTCGCAGCCGTCGCGCTTTTAAATGCGGGTGTCGTCGGTAAAAACCCTGCGGCCAATTCTTTCCCGGAGGTCGGACCTTAAGGCTGGGGTCTGTGATCTGCAAAATCGAGGATCATTGGCGCACGATGATCAGGGCGAGCGATCGTAGAAACTTGACTGGAAGCGGGTAACCCCCATCCCGGTGACATGAAATGCCCTGTGTGATGAAACACCCACCAGGTACCTGCACCTTCGAGCACCGTCACTCCCAATCCACGTATTAGATATTGCCTGAGAGCAGTACAAACAATGATTTTCTATACGATGGCTCTTTTCAAACAAAAATTATAAAGTGTTAGAGCGGCAGATTACAGGACGACACGCACTACTAGAAAATCCGCTGTTTACTAATATGATGCCAAGATGATCTATAACAACATCTGAGATGGGTAGGAAAGTCAATATTATATCATTTCGCCTACCTAGTTGACTATATTGATTTTTTATATTATCTTAATTATGATACCTAGGAATGTACCAATTTTGTTAGAACTCTTGGTAGTAGAAAGGTACATAGAACAACAGTACTGATAAGGCGAATACACGGGATGGGAACAATCATGTAACTTAATATATGAAAAATACTAGCGCTGCTAAACGGGACTAGACCCACAACCCTGTCCGCAAGTAGGAGATGGCGTGCTTGAAAGGAAACATACCTCTAGTAGAAGTACATCGGGACCGCATCAAACTATAAGGGCATATAGTGCTATAGGAAAAATCACAAGGTATAGATATTATATCTCTATAAATGCTGTCTTTACACTAAATGCTATAGATATAGGTCTGGGATTATGAAGCCTGTTCACGTTTCGCGTGTTGCTCCAGGAAGTCCAAATAATATTGAGACTAGTCACACGCACGCTTCTACAGTCACACATGAAGGTTGAGATGATTGAATATACAGGAAGGGGCCCTAAATGCGCCATTTGAGAGACCGAATCCCATGGTCAGCCAATTATTTCGGGATGCTCGCGACTAAGCATTTTCTCACTCGCTTCGAACGCCCGTCGATGCATCGCTTCTGCCTCTTTATATTTCCTTGGTTACAGTAGAATTCGAAAACAGTTTACCCCTTAAGAACACAGACTCTGTTTCTCGGTCGGTACCCGAAACAAGGCTAATTCATATTAGGATAAGCGGTAAAGTAATCTCCATTCACAGACTGGTCTTTCCTACGGCCGGCTTGGCCAAAGTAGGCTTAGACCCGTTCTCGTTACGGGCCGAGAAACAAAGTGTGTATGCCCAAGGGGTAAACTGTTTTCGAATTCTACTGTATAGAGCACATTGCCAAGGTTTATTGACACTTGTGAGCGTATGGGGATGCTCGTGTCCAAGCACCTTATACTCGAATCCTGGTCCCTAACACCACGAAGAGGTGCCTGCACGTCGCTAGAGGCCTTGTTCTCGCAGCAATCCCCTGCGAGGGAGCTTGTTGACGCAGGCCCTATCCTGCGGGGTAGTCTTGTTCTCGCTGCGCGTTTTTCCACCCAATTCGCATATTTTCGCATAATAAGCAAAGAGTTAGTTGATAAATAGCTTACAAAATACAAAATAGCGTTTAGCCTGCATTTAGACCTGCATCTTCTCTATTTCAAACAAGATCTAAGTCATACCGTTAGTGCTCAGTGGTATCCTTTTCAATGAGGAACTGACCTTCTCAATGTATCGCACCCCGACGAGGATCCCATCCTCATCTTCAAATTCACTTGCATCCTTGAAAAGCGGACTGTCGGAGTGAAGACAAGTCAAACAGGAAATCACCGTATTCGTATAGATTCTACCCATGCGCTGGGGTAAGTGTGCTTCGGCCATGTCGACAGGGACATTTTCGATATGCACAGCTGCTTTTCGCTTGTTCTTAGCACTCAACATGCTCGCGATTGAAAGGTCTGAGCTGGGAATTTTCTGATCGCCTGCGTAGTTCACAGATGAGCTCCACACCCCAATTTCTAGCAAACATACCCCGATGCTGTAGATATGGTGACGCATGCGTAATAAAACTTACAGTGGATTTCAAAACCAAACAGTGGTATTTTACTAAAGAAGGGAAATGCCATTGAGCACGGTCCACCGGGTACCACTGAGCTCTCAGTGGCAGTTCCCTGACCTGTAGTCACCTCAGGCACTGCACGGGGAGTGGATGCCTGAGGCTGACCAGGCCCAGGGAGTGGTCCTGGGCGCACAGAGAGAAAAGGGTTTCTATTGGTCTAAAAGCGAGGACTCCACCGGGTTATGTAAGAACGTACACTGATGTGGCCTAACGTATTTCACAAGCGAGCTGGACACACAAGCGAGCTGGACACCCCAGAACACATAGTAAATGCGATAAATTACAACTTGATATCTCAACAACAGTGGTCTATAGGGACTTTTCCTTATAGTTTAATTTTTTAGGTGATATCTAGCATATTTAGGGGTTTTGGGGAAATTTCATGTCTTTATGACTGCGATATATATATTTCTAGATTTTGGTAGCGTATTTTTCGGTAATTTTTGAAATGATAATAAGATAGTCTTCTAACCTGTTTGAAATTGATATATAGTGCTAATAAGTCTTATCAATAACTATCGACAAACCAGGAGATAGAACAAACATACGGTTGTTGAGATGTAAATGCTGATTTACTATGTGTTTTGGGGTGTCCAGCTCGCTTGTGTGTCCAGCTCGCTTGTGAAATACGTTAACTAGCTAGTACTATCCAATAGAAACCATGTGATACTTACAGAATCTCAGATCTGCACGTGATATGTCCTAATTTAAACTCGACGTCCTGGTCGTCCTGAGTGACTCACATAAGAGATTGCTCTCATGAAACAGATAAGCTCGCAATAGGCAACTCCCATGAGTAGCCTCTATTTCAAAATGTCTTCATCGTATGACGTTCTTGTCACTGGCTCGGCTGGTCATCTTGGTACCGCTCTGATGCTTAGCCTGCCTTCTCTAGGCTTCAAACCACTAGGCATCGATATCCTATCCTCCTCAACTACGACACTTGTGGGATCTGTTAGCGACCGAGAGTTTATCACCTCCCTCTTCGACTCTTACCCTATAAAACACGTTCTCCATGCCGCGACACTGCATAAACCGCATGTTTGCAGTCACAGCAAGGAGCAGTTCATCTCAACCAACATTGTCGGCACTTTGATTCTCCTAGAAGAATCTTCCAGATTCAGGGCGCAGATAGAGAGCTTTGTCTTCTTCAGTACAACCAGTACCTTTGGCATGGCACTCAGTCCCAAGCCAGGACACCCCGCTGCTTGGATCGATG